AGAATTTGTCTAACGTATAAGTTCTGTTGAGAGGAACGTCGCCTTTTTAAGAGATTAATTTCATGAATGTATGAATAAAATGTGCATAATTATTGCACTAAATGTATTGTGTGAACATACCAAGACTTTAATCGATGTTTCTGGCTGGCAAATTAGTTCTCTATCAGTTTATTGAAAAACATTTCGTGAATAATACTTTTAAAATCATGGATATCATGTCCTGGGGTAATTTGGGTAGAGTGCTTTAAGCCCGGTAGGGATTCCCAAATTGGAAACGTATAGATAGTGAATCGCTCTAGAAATTAAGCTTACAGGGGGAACAACAAAGCAATTTTCGCCAACCAGATTTTGAACGAAAAAATCCACCTCACTGCAGCCTGGATTCCAGAATCTAGAGAGAAATTTACTGATCTTCTTATGATAGAAACTAGCACCTCTTTGACCCCCCCAGCTGGTATGTAGAGACGCTAAGCAAGCGGAAAGACATAACCAAAACAGCTTGATAGTTGGTTGCTCAGGTAATCCAACCAACGCGAGACTTCTCAAAGTAAAACAGTAAGGAATCTTACTACAAAAAGCTGAGAATCACTACCGGACTTAAATTTTTTTGAGCGCATTACCACTGATGCTCTTGATTTCTTTTCTTTTCCTCTCCACAGCGCTTTTTGCCTTGCGAAGCTTTTTCTCATCCTCTGAATCAGACGCGAGATCGTCGGACTCGTACTCTTGAACCACAAGGCAACCCTCCTTATTTTTATCGGCAACCTTGATCAGCTACTGACGCTCCTTGATTACCTGTTCTCCTTCGGCGACGAACTTGAGAACCTCGGATGGGTTCTCGACGCTGCCTTCAATTCGAGTCAAAATGCTATTCAAGAGGGAATTCAACTCAAACTGCTTTCTATTTCTCTTAAACTTAGTCGCAGAAGCTTCTTTTCCGATTTTGGCGGTTTCTTCCAACTGTTTGCCTTTTTCCTCTTATTGGGAAGTGAGTTATCGTACCTTGAAAAGCGAGAACACTTGGTTAACCAACTGAGAATAAGGGGTTTCAGGCTACGAGAAAGATGAATTTAGACCGGAAAAATCGGCTTCGGCGGCAGAAGACGTGGAATTTAGACCGGAAAAAACGGCTTCGGAGACAGACGCCGTGGAACCATTTTGTGGCGTAGTCATATCATTGTGGTGAATGAACGAAGCAGCGTCAGTGGAAAGCGAGAGAGAGAGAAGACAGAAGAAGCATTTTACCATCAAATTAATCGCACAAACTCAAACTAAAATCTTAAAAATGCAAAGATGCATGACCCCATAGAACTCGCAGGAATATCATAAATACAGTATTAAAGTTCAAATTTCTGGGGAACTGAGATCATTTCTTTAGGACTTGCCTTTCCCAGGCAAAAATATGAGCAATGCCAAAACATACCCCTAGCTGTCAGAATTTTCCCTTTGATTCACGGTTAAGTTAGGCAAAACTGGTATTAACTCTGGAAGTTTTTATAGCCAAAACTAGAAATGTGTTATCTAAGATTCAATAACTTTTTACAAAAGTAGATATATTCGATGTCACATTAACAGCGTCTATTTAGAGAATAACCGATCTCTGAGTTCTCCTCCTTCCCCAGTTCATTTTAAATAACACATTCGAGCAAAGTTTCGAAAGTCAGTTGATCCCTCAAAGTGTCGCTAGCATTACGTGTGGATATAGCGCCATTGCCTATTCTGGCGGTTAAGCAAAAACACATTCTGTCAGTGGTTTTCACCGTCAGGCGATCGAAGTCTTAGTCGAAGTAATGGCTTCCATGAATGAACGCAAACATCTGTTGTTTTGTTTCGCCACTAAAGTGATTAGCTATCCAATGCGAACTTGCAAAAACTCATCTAAATAAATTTTCTCATGTTTCTGATGCTCAGGGAAAGAAACGTCAACAATAAAATCACATTTTCCATGCGGATCAACTTTCAGGACCGCTACTTCAATGTCGAGGGAAGAAAAATTACGGAATTAGAAATAGCTCCTTTTTCGAAACGGAGAACAAGAGTTTACGTATTGGAGGACCCCCGTCTTTTGGAGGTAAAGCTCTATTAGTCCCAAAAATATTTCAATATGCTCAGCGAACATGAATAGAACTGGTAATTAATCAATGCAATCGGTTGATTTAACTTCGCATGCGTAGCAAAGAATGCATGCCTCAACTTCGAGCTCGAACGAATTTCGGCTTTCGATAGGACAAAAACAAAGAAAAAGGAATTTTTTTTGTCAGTGTTGCATAAGAATAATAAGGCAAGTAAAATTTACTTGAAGGGTCAAGAGGCACGTTGTTCGAAGGCATTTTCCGCCCAAAGCTACCGGAATGGTGTCTGTATTTATCAACGCATACTCACCGAACTTTTTCTTCGAAACAGCCGTAAAGATGCTACGCTCAGGGAAACTACAAGGAGAAATCCATGGTAATCGCATAAGGTATCACATCATGTTCAATAACACAGTGGGAAACTCAGTAAATGGAAGTCCAAGCAAGCGTAATAGAGTTGCTTGCACCACAAGAAAATGTCCGAGTGCCTCTTGTCGAAGAACTTTGCCCATAGAAATCAAAACCATGTATGCTATTTAAAGCCCACTTCGTCATCTCACATTGACAGCAGAATTCCTCAAGGATATTAAACTGATAAACTACTGGGTAAAGTCGTCAATAAAAAAGAGGAGAAAACTAAGAGCGTAGAATAAAGGGGGTGAGTTTCTGAAGAAACTGTGGTGCTGCGTCGGTGGGAGAGTATAGGGGGTAATTTAGTGTTAATAACTGAGTGAAAATCGTGATTTGGCCACCGTAAAGAATGAAAAGGCTGACGTTTCAAGCGTTAGCCCGTCGTCATCGCTCTGACGAAGGGTTAACGCTCGAAACGTCATCCTTTTAACTCTTTACGGTGGCCAATTTACGTTTTCAACTCAGTTGTTAACACTGAATTACCAGCTATGAGCATAGAACTCTATCAATGAGAACCTGTATCATGACCAGCTGCGCTGTTGGCAGAAGATTGGGGAAAAATGCAGAGTTTAACTAGTTGCAATGTGTGTATCAAACTGTGATGGAACTTCGTGATAGCGGTGTTATAAGGCTTCGAACAGTTTTATTGGAATCAGCTAATTTCTCGAACTGAGGTCTCTAGTGTGGTAGTGCCTGCTACTATGATTGAAACTTGAATTGTGATTAGGGCTGTGAAACAGACTGATGAGAGCCGCGACAAATGAGAACGTAGATAGGATTCTTATTGCAGCAATTTCTGAAAATATAGCTGTGATTTTAGAGGGAATTGTTCATTTGACTGTGATTTTAAATACAATCTGGACTGCATTTGTGTTTGTGATTCAGGAATACAGCTTCGACTGCAATTTGCAGTCAGTCAATATGACTTGGAGTAACGCGTAATCCACCACAACATTTTCCAAACGAAGAAGATGATTTTTCTATCAAAAAGCAATTCATAGAATGGTTTTCAGAGACACAAAATCCACAACTCCCATTTTAATAACCTCCAGTCTACTCTAGTGTTCGAGATGTAAGCAAAATAACTGGATGTTCCCAAACTAAGTCAAACTCGATCATCAACAAAGTACATAGCCGTACTTGTCCATGAATTGAGCGCAAGAAACCTTCAAACTTTCCCTTAATAATTTGACTGAGGTACCATGTAAATAAAGCCTAATTTCTTGTGCAATTCTTTCAACCTGGGTTTTCTAAACTGATATTATCTGTAAAGCACAACACTTAAGTTAGTATGTCTAGCCGACTTTTAGCAGTCAGAATTCTTGTTTGAAAATTGTCCCTTTTTTATTTTCCGAAAGCAATAGAGCTTAACAACTTCCATTTTTGGTAAACTCATACAGAAGCGGAACTGCCAAGTACTAAAGAAATTCGTGTACACCTTGTACTTTCCCATACCCTCACTGTCAAATGGACGTAATTTTAAGCTATATGAGATAAGGCATGCTGCAAGGGAGCTTAATCATATGCATTTTCATTTCTTGACATCACGTTTGTTCAAAGGCATTTTCCAAACATTAACCATGCGTAACCAGCAGAGTAAAAAAAATTTGCTCGACAATTTGGCTGCCCTTATTTGAATTATGTGAGATGTGAAATGCTTTCCTGGTTAATAATTCTGATTTCTTTCATTCCTTTACAACATGGTGTGGTCTTCCCATCTACGTACATTCTCTTAGAGATTGAACATGGTCATAGGATGTCGTTGATGATAACCCTGTCGACAGACATAATGAAAGAGACTCTTTATATGCTAAGTACCTTTGCCGCTCTATGGTAAAATCAACTGTACTCACATTGGTCTTCTTAATCCAGTGGTGTAGCCAGAATTTTTCGAAGGAAGGGGGGAGGGGGGACACCCTGTCAAACAGTGAGTACTCGTCAGATTGTCATGTCCACCTCCTCGCCTGATATGTCACGGGCACCTCAGGACTCCCCCTTGCTACGCCCTTATAATCTAAATCTATTAGCCTTGGTGGTTTGGTGCGGGTTTGCTCAGAAAAATTGCAGAAACTTACATTATCAATTTCGTTAATAAAGCCAAATCATCTTGTACTACCTCCACCGATGCAGCACCACAGTTTCTTCAGAAGCTCGCCTTCCCTGTACATACATTGATTTTCTTCATCTGAATCGATAACCCACGATAGTTTGGCGTTGGTTTGGTTTTCTACCTGTATGTGTCTTAATCATTCTTTTAGAGAAATGGCAACATGAATCTCCAAATATTATTAGACCTTCCAGTTAGGGTCTTTTAGTCATTCACTCGCTAGTTAGCTATATCATTCACCAATGATGCAGTTTGTCTAACTGAAAAGTAAGTTATTCTTTCTAGATATTCATAGGTAGATTTGTTACACGGAATTGTATATGCCTGTGTACATACCTGAAGAAATACTGCAGGCAGTTTTTGTTGAAGATCTGGAACTGCCTTCTTGTGTCAGGGAGCTCAAAGGTGGAATGGATACTTTAGGAATTCCCATGTTTGGAAGGAAATTTCCTATGCTTCTTTATCTTCTGAGGCCATCTAGCATTATCAGTTTATCAGTTCGACATCTTTTGTTCTTGTTGAAACCAGAATTCTTAGAGGAAGGATCCAACATGCTCATTCATGAAAAAGCTATTTATAGCAAATTTGTGAAATATATTAGAGATGTGTCAAGTGGCCGCAGAGTTGTCACCCTTGGAAACATCCTTGAATTTGTCACTGGAACAAGTGAAGAACCACCCCTTGGTTTTGCAAAGACACCACAAATTCACTTTCCAGAAGCTGAAGTGAAAGAGCCCATGACTACAGATGAGGTAATATATAAGCATTAGGTACAGGTTTGGGTAGTTTTTGAAAAGTTTTTTTATATAGGATCGCAAATATGGCAGGTAAAATGTGCACTTGAAAACCGGGTGTGGTGATGAAAGCATTTAACATAATTACAAATCTGTAAAAACCTTGAAATTCTGCAGCAAATGATTTAACTTTTCTCGTAGAGCGTGGCATTGTTTACAAATGCAAGCAGAAATCGCGTGGACGTTGATATCTAGTTTCGTAAGCGCGATGCTAATCGAACATCGTCCTCTTTTTACTCTGTAACAAAAATCGCTCGTAATCTTTTCCTATATCCTTAAAGCAATGTGTATATATATGAACTCAGACTCTGAATTGCAAATTTACCTTAAAAATGGAAAATAAATTCACTTTAATGTTGTTTTCTCTATAACCCTTACACTAACATGTGCAAAAAAAATTACCAAATGGCATTATTTTGCATAAATTAGAGTGACGTCACGGAACGCGATTCGTAGACGTTCCCTCGCTTCCGTTTCACCTAGGAGGGGGGGTGGATAAGGAGAGGGTACGGCTTCGTGTAGGCTACGGCATAAGCGGGCCAGTGAACCAAGCCTGCAAGATGTCTGTGAGGGGTCTGGCACCAAAATTTTCTCCTATCCGCATTAGGCATTAATAGACTGTGCTCGGCAACTTTTGAGCAACTTTTAGCGTTTTCAGCAACTTTTTGTACTGCAAGCAACCTGGTGCAACTTTTGCCTTCCTTAAGGCTTCGGTCATGATAAGATACAACAGTGCAAAGAGGCTGTAAACTTTAAAGTTTACAACCTCTTTGCATTGTTGTATCTTATCATGATAAGATAAGATAAACGCTGTAAACTGGATCACTGTCCAAAGTGTATAGTCAGCACCATGATGTCTATAGCAAACATTGTGATGTTTACCCATTAGAAACGTCATTAAAAAATACTTTCTATTATTAGTTATGTTGAGCTTAAAGATTATATTGATCACAACAGATGATGTTAAATTACAAATGCAACGTCATGTTTTGAGTAGTAATCTAGAACAAAATGACTCTCAAAAGTAAGCAACTTTTTTAAGTTTGGGTGGCAACTTTTGAGCAACTTTAGAGCAAACGTTTGGGTTTATTGTCAAGCAACTTTTGCTGGATTTACTAGCACAATCTATTCGCGCTCTAATCCGCATCTCTCTTTAAAGTATCATGATCCTCAATATGCACCACCAAGACAGTTGTTTTTGTAGCTTAAGGTTATTTTTTTTAGACTGTCCGAGCTGGGCTCATGACAGTTCACCCCTACCTGAAAAACAGCTTGCATCCAATGTCACCGTAAAATTCGGACAGTATGATGACACAGACGACTGGTATGCCTACGTATCTTGGAGTCCAATCAATGGTGCGTAACTAGCTTATTACCTGTCCTTTATTATTTCAAACAACACAAACAGCAATATATGATGAATGAATAGGAAAAAAACTAACAAAAGCAAACAAACAGAAAAGCAAAAAGAAAAGAAAAAAAACGCAGAGATGTGTTTCTCAAAGCTCTCTCATTTCTTGGAGTTAAACGTATTATACCGTGCAAAAGCGTAGGAAAAATGTGGTACTCCAAGACCGATTTATCGACTGTGCTTTGTCATGTCAAAGTTACCTTTCTGCAAAAGCCGAATCATCATGGTTTCCTGAAAATCTCAAAGAACCGTGGTAACGAAGTATGGGTATGGAGAGAGTGTCATTTCAGAAATTAAAATTTTAAAAGGTTGCAGCACAAATAACAACAGCTGGAAATGTATATGTTAAGCATCGGCTTTCAACTGCTAAAAGCTTCATGTGTGCATGTATTTAACATTCAGACAACATTTTATTAACATCAACTGTGCATGTAGAGCATCCAATCGATCCCTGTCACCTGAACATTGGACAACCTTTGTTTGCGGGGTGTAGGAAACCTTCACCATTTTTGTCTTTAAGGGTGCACTTAGTTTTTTCAACATAGGAATCTCAAACTTGGAACGAAAAGAGCATTTGATGAATATATGATTGAATGAGTGAACTGATAAATAAATTAATCATAACCATTACGATTTCTTCCAATGTGATTGGTGCATCAGCTGCTTTATATATCACTAATCACTCTGTACAGCTGTAATCGGATATTGTAATCGGACAGTTAGCTATAATCGATCGCTTCGCGGTCGTCCGATTTTATTAATCACTTGTATGATAACAGACCGAATTGGACGACACGAAATCCTATTACCATTATTAAAATATATTGAGTAATTAACAAAGAAGTGAAAGTGATTACTCCTCATAAAATCAGCGAGGCTTGGTAGACGTTTTTGCTTTAGAGGAGTAGTCGTGGAAGGACTATTTTTTTATTTTGTTGGCATCAGGACCTATCGGCATAGATACCAGTAACAAAAAGCGACGAGTTTGTCTCGTTCTCAAAAGCAAGCGATAAAGCGAAAGTGATTTACGAGTAGTTTATTGCTGGTTGTGTTGCACTTGCATTTTTTATCTTATTAATCTCTCCGGGATTGTTATTGTCATGAATTCTAGCAACATTCTCCTCACTATGGTCTCTGCCCTGAATGTCAGCTGACTTTGGCATCGTCCGGAATTTGTTGAGGATGTAGTCCGTCTCCCCGGTAAACAACAGAGAGATCTTCACGTTTTATTGAATTCTCACCCTGTCTTGAAGTTTCCTTAAATTAGCATTCCCCTCACCAGTATTCTGCGTGACGATGGGTGCTGAGGGTGGAATGAAAAGTAACAGATTTATCCGTGTGTGAAACGAGATGCAGGAGAATTAGAATTAAAAGTATGTCTTGAGGTTGGTAAAAGTTGCCTCAAGGTTTATCTCTAGTCTCCTGTCGATATCCATATATGGTGCTGTTACAACTTTTCCGCTTAATTATGATAACAAGTGGTTTGATAGTGACTAAAATCTTTGCCCGAACCCATGACTTTACAAGGCAGCGGGGTTCCTTTGAGCTTGCAGCTTGGACGAACAGAAAACTTTCACAAATAGAGCTCTGGTAGGTTATCACTTTTTGGTATTTTTATATCGAAACTTTTAAGTTGTGGTGCAACTAAGAACATTGCATTTAGAAAGTAATTAAGTTTGATCGCGAAAATCTAAGTGTTCGAGGCAGAATTGTGATCGCCTCAAATGTCTAATATTTGAACGAAAACAAGATTTTATGTTATAATTTAATAAATTAAATTCTGGGCTAATTACCGTTGCTTATACCAAAATACTCAAAACTGTCCCGTGAAAAATTCAACTTCAAAGTCGACCGTATTTTATCACTTTGTCGCTATAATTGTCATTTACATACACCTCATCTCGCAGGTTTTTATGTGAATAGATTTAATTGTGATCAGTGTCTGGAGATGTTTCTAAAATGAAGCTATCACGTAAAAAAAAATTGCGGAACAAAACGAAAAACAAACAAAAACAACACAAAAAGGTAAGGTTTTTCAGAATTAGATCATTTGGACAAAACACAACGAACGAAGGAACAAAGATAACTTTCCAGTGAGTAATATATCAGAATTAAAAGTGAAGGCTTGATCTGCTAATCTGTTGTAACACGTCTCCACGCATGATATGCTTTCTTTGTTTTTTTTTTTTATTCGCGAAATCATGCAGTGATCACGTCAATCTATTTCTATGGAATTCAGTAAGAAATATGCTTTTGTAACAGGACGATATTTTTGCCGCTGAACTGTGAGCTCGAAAAGAGCTCTCGTTATTTGAATCGTCTAAGTTGCTTCCTCAACCTACCCAAAAAGGGTTTTTGATAGTTAACTTTGCGTGTGCAGGCTGGAGATTAAGACAAGGTCTCGCTCTGGCTCACCTGTGGCTAACCCTTTCTCTCCAAGAATTAATTATGCGCTTTAACTTCTTAAAATATCAATAAACTATCCAGCTTGAAGCTGTTGAGAAAAAAGCTGTTTGTAGAAAGGTTTACGGAAAAGCGCTTAAGTGCACGGGATAACTCCGAATGGCGTTAGGGATAGTTTTAATGTCAAGGTTTCTAGACCAAACAAAAACAGAAACTTTCCAAACATACAGAAGTCTTAAGTTGTTCTACATACAAGCAAATTAAATATGGTGCCTGAAGATTCCACCATGTCACTCTGTTCACTTACAGACACTTAGGGAATACATGTACACTGCTCTCATACGGGTAAAAAGATCATTAAAAAAACCATCTAACTCAGGTTCATAACCAAGTTGAGAGTCATTCTTAATCAGTAATTAAACTTGCAGTTACTGATCAGCTGGAAAGATCGATCAAGAAAAAAGTCTTTTCTCTGCAGAAAATTCGGAGAGTTCAAAGTTAAATCACTCAAAATATTCACCAACTCCAGGAGTCAGCTCTTGATGATTAGAGACACCTATAAAGCCAAAACAGTCACATGAAAGCATTTCCTTGATGGTCAGTCAGTTAATATTTATTACATAATTTGTACCTTCCTACTTATTCTGATTCTTCACAACACCTCACCAGATTCCAGTGTTGTTGGATTTCAACAGAATTTGCTGTAAACAAAAAAGTAGAACAAATAATATTGTCAAGTATGATTAAAAATTATGTTTTTTTTTCGTGGGCATATCTCTAGCCTTTGAAATGTAAACTTAAGTTGTCGTCATCAAAGGTGAAAACCGAGAACTCATTTTGAAAACTCTCTTGAGATCAATTCAGCCAAAATCTATTTTCTGCTGTATATGTAAAAGACATCCGTTGACGTATAGCTCTTATTTTCTCTCATTAATTCGAAACTTACATGCATTGTAGCTTAGTTAATAAATTCACTTTGTCGAAGCTCATAGGACTCACAGCGCTCTCATTTCAATTTTGCCTAGAAGATTGTTGTATTTGAGATAACAGTTGAATTCATAACCTTGGATCGAACGTACCACGATATTTAAATTTGATAAACAAACAAATGTTATGTTTACGCTATGGTAAAGGTTACACACTGGGGTTTATGAATTTTAATCACATCCTATACTGATGAGAATGAAACTTTCCCAAACATACTAAAAAAGTTTTAATCCCTAATTTAATAAACGAAAAAATTGCATTTTCCTTCAATCAAACACGCTCAATTTGGATGCACGCAGCAGTGAATTCGCAACTAGAGCAAATTAGAGCCAATTTCTGGAAAACAACGCGAACCAACACTCACCTCAGCTGTAAACCTGACATCTGCGAGAAAACAGCGTTTTCTGAAAAATTTAGTCTAGAAATCGATCTTAGCTTCCTCGAAAACGTAAACGCTCTATCGAACGGCCGCCATGTTTCTAGTCTTCGATGGAATATATCTTGAAACCCTGCTGGGGGTCTAGAAACAAGGTAGAACCCAGGCCTTAACTGCTTGAGTAGTCCCAGCATAAGTAGTACTGGCAACTAATTCGGTGAAGCGATTTCAGCCATTTTATAAAAGATGGCTTCTTATCGTCCGTGTTGCATAAGAATAATAAGGCAAGTAAGAATTCCTGGATGGGCAAAAAAGCACGTTATTCGAAGGCATTTTCCGCCCAAACCTGAAGGAAGGATGTCTATATTTAGCAACGCATATTCACCAAACTTTTTCTTCCGAATAGCCGTAAACATGCTACGTTCAGGACAAATGCAAGGAGAAATCCATGGTAATTGCTTGAGGTATCGCATCATGTTCAATAACATAGTGGGAACCTCAGTAAATGGAAATCCAAGCAAATGTATTAGGGTCGTTTGCACCACTAGAAAATGTCAGGATGCCATTTGTCAAAGAACTTTGCCCAAAGAAATCAAAACCATCTATCCTATTGAAAGCGAAAGTCCTCAGAGATATTAAACTGATATTCTACTGGGTAGAGTCGCCAGTAAAAAGGTGAAAACTAAGAGCATAGACCTCTATCAACGAGAACCTGTATCACGACTGAGGTGTTGGCAGAAGATAAGGGAAAAATTCAGTGTTAAACTAGTTGTAATACGTGTATCAAACTGGGATGGAACTTCGTGGTAGCGGTGTTATGAGGCTTCATACAGTTTTATTGGATCAGCTACTTTCTCGAACCGAGGTCTCTCGTGTGGTAGTGCCTGCTACTATGATGGAAGCTTGGATTGTGATTAAGGCTGTGAAACAGGCTGATGACAGCCGCGACAAATGAGAATGTTGATAAGATTTTTATTGCAGTAATTTCAAAAAATATAGCTGTGTTTTTAAATGCAATTGTTCATTTGACTGCAATTTTAAATAAAATCCGGACTGCAATTGTGTTTTTGATTCACGAATAGGACTTAGACTGCAATTTGCAGTCAGTCAGTATGACTTGGAGTAACACGCAATGCACCACAACATTTTCCAAACAAAGAAGTTGATTTTTCTATTAAAAAAAAATTAAAAAAGAGCTTCTCACAGAAACAAATTTACAACTCCTATTTTATTAACGTTCAATCTACTCTAGTGTTCGATATGTAAACAAGATAACAGTAAAAAAGCTAGTTAACAAAACACATTCTAGATGAAAGGTTTCACCTTTACATTGGGCAGTTTATAGACTATTAAACACTATTACTCAACAGAGGTAACTATAATTTAAACTTTGGTGACAAAAAAAAATATATATTCCCACTTTTTTTTCAAGTACGCTCGACCTTTTTAAGGAATGTTTCTGTAAACATTATATCAACAGTGATATTAATGAAGAGCTACAAAATGATAGATGACAAAATATCACAATGGATAAATAAAGGCCACTAGCAAGCCTATCTTGCGAAATTTTTTTCTCTCCAAAATGGTGTAAAACAACCCAACCTCGGCGGAATCTGCACAGCCTTCGAAACTGTAAGTGCTGCAAAAGTTTCCATGCATTTCTTAGTGAAATGTTTCCTGAAGGAAAAGAAAACAACGACAAAAATAGGCCTGAGGGTCCTTTTACAGAAATAAGGAACAGATCAGAAAACCATGTTCCCAAGAAAGTTCAACCAACCAAAGGAGAACTTGAAGCTGTTGGAGAGATGATTTTCTCAACTTATGATCAAATGTGCAAAGAAAATCTAGGCAAGTCATTTAGTGAGATGCTACTTGCTGTGCCACAGTTAAACATGCAAGAGAAACAAAGCCCATATGAAAGAACACAACAGCGCCTGAAATAACAACGAAAATTCAAAGGCTATGTTGAAACCGTCTGGAAGGAGAATGATGTGGATTCTCATCTAGCCCAGGGAACACCTTTGGCTGCAAGGGCCAAACAGAGAATTGCACGAAAGAACGATCACATGTCCCTCGAGAAGTCAAGGGAAACATAGAACAGCTCTTGGAGGAGATAAAAAGCTGACTCTATAAACCAATCTGCTGGTCTGCAAAAGTAAAAGAGTATCAGATCAGAGAATATGCAAATGATACCACACCACCTAATGGGGGGGCAAATCCTAAAAGAGTTTTGAGGTGAAAGGGGATAGCATAACCCCCTTTGAGTCACTAAGTGGTGGTGAGAATTAAATAATAAACTTATATTTATACATACACTACCAATAAAACAAACACCGCAATTTCCTCTCAAAATAGAGTACAAAAATCATTATACTTAGGATAGGAGTCATACCACATAACATGAAAAAATTCAAAGTTTGTGTAATTCATCTGTACCTGAACATTCTGTCATATGGTTCAGGGTACAGTCTTAATCGTTCTGTTCAATCAGCTATTCACTACAATCATGGGAGGATGATTTGAGACTTTTAATTCGACCTAATTTTATTAACTGAATGTAATACCAATTTGTTTTAACATGGTATATGTCGTATCAGGAGGTCAAGTTGGTGGTGCCGTTTCTGTTCCTGTTCTTCGAAATAAGACAGAAATGAAGGAGGACATCAAGGAAAAAATTGCATCTGAGAAATTCAACCTTGGAATTCCTGTGCTAGATAGTGAATACACTAAGGTAGTTCTCACCTCTGAGGAAACTTTGAGCAAAAAAAGTCTGCAAAGTTTCTTCCTCGAGTTTCTGCATTAAAGAAGTCTGTGCATAAAGTGCAAAAGCGAATAAAGACCTTCTTAGATTAAGGAGCAATGAAGAGTACAACAGTATGACATCTGATCTGTTGAAGAGAAGACTACAGTAAACAAGTTCCCAATGAGTAACACAACACCATGATAGATGAACAACACCTCATGAAGTGTGAGTGAACCCGTTACTGGCTCACATGGCGTGACCATTCTAGAAGCAAGATGATACAGGGTCGCTTTCGCGCGTTGAGGGTATCGTTTCCAGGGCCTCATCGGAAAATTGTTTTAAACAAGATGGCGGCTGTACTGTGCACTCTCAGTGTTAAGTATGTAGCTGCATTTGAGAACTAAATATTTAAAATGAACGGAACAAAATCGAAATCGATGAATTGTAGAGCACTTATTGGAAAAATGAATATTTGATAATGGGGTACGTTCCCTTTTCGAGCTAGCGACGGATTCGTGTCAAAATCTTCATCAAACATATACTGGAGATTCCCTACATCTTCGTGAAATTCAAACCTATCCAGAATGGAAAGTTCAAATGTGTTTCAGGAATTTGAGGAAGCATCACAGAAAGCAATCTAGACAAAGGATAATAAATATATTGCCTGTCGGCCCCTTTCCAAAGGTTTCACGGGTGCCAATTGAGCATGGAAGTGTCTCCACTTTCGAGTTGATCAGGAGGTTTGTGACTTACTTCTTTTTCGGAATGGACGTGAAATTTCGTGAAGAGATTGCCGTCACGAAGGTGAATTGTAAACAGAGATTTCATCCAAATACTGGGAAACTGCAGTTGTTACAGGTCAGAGTATATGAAGTTGTCATACCTCTCAGTTAGTAAATGTGCTATGATTGGTCAATTTAGCGGAACATATTTCGCCTTGCAGCCCCACTAGATTCCAAAGTTTGTTTAAATTGTAATTTTACCCCGCTATTTGCACCCACAAATGAAATAAAACTGTTTTTTCTTTTCTACATGGATTTATGGCCCACATGCTTTTGCACCTAGCTAGCTCATAAATCTGAGCAAAAAACTTAGTCCATAACTAACTGTTAGGACTTCAAATTTGGTTAGTAAATAGAGTTTATTGCATGGCCACGTGGAGATAAGAAATCTCTCTTTCAGGGAAATTTGGTATCTCCACGCAGCCATGTAATATTCTCTTTGTTATATGAACACCAACAAAATACCAGTCATTTCACTTTAATATTTATTTAACATAGAACGTGGAAAGGTGCGATTTTATTATGTGACCATAGCAACACTGATCTTTACAACTGTGAAGATATCATGTTTTTGCATCTAAGCTCACTTGGTATTTCCGTGGTGTTTATATAATAAGAAGTATTTATCTCCTAGACTGTATTTGCATTTTTAGAAACTACAATATTACCACCAACTAGGTGTATAGTCCAGTTCCAAATTGCTCTACTTTTGGCTAAATTCAGATAAACACAATCAAGTGTGGAAAGTAATGTGGGATTGTGATGTAGTTAACTTTCACTTTTTGTCTCTCTGTGATTAGTCTTGAAAATCTTGTGCTTGTCAGTTATAAAGCCAAGCCAATTTTGATTTGGTTACTTGAGTTTTCCTATACTTTAGGTAGTTTTTCTATTTTTAGATGGAGTTCTCAATGGCCTTTTGTGCTATTCTCTTTTTTTCTTTTTAATGACATGATTGGCTTTTATCACCACTCTGATTGTGGTCTCACAACACTTAATCAGGAAGTGCACCTATTTGGTTTTGACAGGTAGCATTAAAAGAAAGGGAGTAAGTTTCTAAAAAAACTGTTAGTGATAACTGGTGTGGCAAGCATTGATGAGGGACTAATGCAAAAAATGTCAGCTTTAAAAAATCTCTCCAATAGCCAATTGACAAAATCAACTCGGTTTATGAAACAAAATTATCTTGCAACACTAGTTCTTGACACTTGCATGTACTAATGGGGGTCTACTGTTATTCAGTCAATGGGAATAATTAGTTCAGATATTGTGGGCTTAAAAGGGAAAGGGGAAAAAAAAAACAAAACATTTACATTAGTAATCTCTTTGCTTTCAAATGTAATAATACAGTATTCATTTCTTGTCTTTCAATGCAATCCCTTCATTGTGGATTGTAACATTTTGATTGCTTGTTGTTGGTAGGAGCCTTGTAACTAGTCAACATCATGATTTAATTAAAAAAGGCCATAGTCTAGAGTTGAAATGTTACAGCCCATGCTGGAAGTGACGCGGGCAAGCAATAAATCCTTTCTTGTTACAGCTGTATCTAATCAAAATGAATGATCAAAAACCTCTTTTACTCTTATTTCAGATTTGATGCATTATTTTAAAACTAATCTCCCTGCAGATGGTTACGGCATCATTGGTCTTACATTAATGGATCTTTATCCTGGTGAAGATTGGAACTTTGTTCTCGGGGAATCATCATGTGAGGATGGTTGTGCTGAGGTTAGCTCTGGCCATTCTGAGCCACAGTCCTACCAGAATAGACATTTGAATGATACAAAAAGTCAGAAAATTGTGGGAGTGCAATGTGGCAAAGCTGATGGAACTATTTCCTCAGTCTCTTTTGAGAAGAATGACCATTATAATGTAAGCCTTTACCTGGAAGATTTTGCAGATATAGAAAAAGGCAATAAAGAGATCATTTGGAGACTTCTTAGGGTAAGATGTTCAAAAACGAACATACTCTGCCAGAGTGTACATTTATGAAACCTAAGTAAAATTTGATTGCATTTCAACAAACTTGTTCTTTATGTTCTCAGCCTTCATAAGTATTACACATAAGCAACCAAGATTCCCTGGGCTTGTGAGAGTATAGGTGGGTGAGACATGCAAGTTATGTAATGTGTCATTCAGAAAATCATGAACAGTTTAGACTGATTCTGACTAAAACTGTCCAGATCCCGTTTCATGCAGAAATATTAAAATAATTCATGTGTCATGTGTACTTGAACCATTTAACTCCCACGAGTAAACAAGACAGAATTTCTCATTACAATATCAATACTAAATTCTCCGAACTAACATTATATGAATTGTATGGTTGACAGTATGGAGAATTACAAATTTGATCGGGGGGTTAAAGAGTTTAACGGCAGATAATCTCAAGCGTCATCAAGAATTTGAAAGGTGAAACTTTAAACCTCATCATACCTTGACTTTCTGTAAAATTCACGCATCTCTTATACGTCTTAGGCTTAATCAACCTTTATTTCTTCGTCCAGTTCCTTTACGTAAACTACAAAAAGCTGTTGGCTTTGATGTCGTGGAAAGGTACACTGGTTTATGTAACCTTCTGGAGTACGTCATGAACAAAATACTTTCTAAAGATGATTATAGCCACTCTGAAGACGGATCATTACTTAACACTGAAGAATGCAAATTTGTAATGGCCATCAATTGGTTGAAATCAGTGTTTAAGTTTATCAAGGGGAACATTGATAAAAACCCCATTAGATATTAGGGCTGCATGGACAAAGAATGCTCACCCCTGGTCACAGGATTTTAAACCATTTTTCCATGAGCGCGCGTTGGATACGAAATGATAGCCAACGAGATCCGTAGGGCCGGGTTGTCTGTAACCTTCTCATACCCAATAAGCGTGAATGGAATAATTGTTTTACGAAAAATGCTGTAAAATTTAGATAAATCTTCCCATCTTTATTTCGTAAACTTTGTTTTCTTATATAATGGTTTATAACCATGATAGCTAATCTTAGGTATGGATGTCATCCCCTGGCAAACAACAGAGAAGAGAGCGCGATTTGTTGACCTATGTTCCCCTCTCTTGAATTTTCTTCAGAAAAGTAAATAAGCACGTTTTTTACCAAAGCACTTAACATTCTAGTCAGCAGTACCTTGTATGATGGTAGGTGCTTGAGAAGAAAAAATGAAAAATGGAAAAAAAATACAACAACAACAAAGTACAAATCAAAAGGCGAAACCACTCCAATAACCGATAACGACCTGTGTGAAATTTTCCTGAAATTTCAAAGAAAAGAAGTTTTCTCTGAAAAATTGACAAGGATGATTTATTTATCGATCTTGAGAATGAAATGCGACAGAATTATCCAGGTGTGAAATTATACTAACTTAAATAGCACGTCTTGGTGCGGTTTAATCTGCATCACAAAACAATGATAGTCAGTCGATTCCAGTCGACCTTGGTTTATGGTGCTGTTTCAGCTTCTCCACCTAAGACGACGTGCGTTGATTCTTGGTGAACGTGCCTTTTGGCTGTAGCAAGTGATTTGAGAGTAACAATAGACCCCATGAATGCGAGAATCACTATAGCTGCAGTAGGGACACTTATTATCGCTGGAACATTGATAGAATGTTTAGACCAAGATAAAAATAAGACAGCAGGGTGCCTACGTGCCTGCGGCTGGGATGAGCAGAAAACTTTGACCAAGAGAGCTCGGGTAGATTATCTCTTTCTCTTCCATTTACATCGAAATTTCCATGTTATGGTGAAAATCAGCCGTTGGCTGAGAATGTAGCGTTTTGAAAGTAATGAGGTTTTAGTCGCAAAATCCGCTTGAAGTGTTCGAGGCAGAGTTGTGGCTGCCGCGAATTTATAATATTTGTATACAAACAAAAAAATTGAGAAAGGAAATTCTGTGCATGTGATATTGGACGAAAATTACCGTTGATGATACCAAAACACTCAGGAGTATTGCCTTCAAGAATTCGACTGCAGAGATCGACCGAAGAAAATTTCGTACCGAAGGCCTTTGCTTTATTTAGCTCAAAGTGCGGTTAAAATGTCATCAATTTTGACCAATTTCTGAATTAGTTTGCTAGACATGATAGTGCAAACAGAAATGGAGATAATTGTCTTTCATGCAAATTCGTTAATAAAGATTTAACATGGTTTGCTTGATCATACATATTATAGGTCAATGAAGTTAATGTAGCATCAAATGATTACTGCTTTAGTGCACGGTCACGTCGTATTGAGTTTTTCAATCTCTTTTTAGTACTTTGCCCAGATGATTTTCCTGTGAAATACCTCTCTTTTCGCTTTGTCACTTGGAGTACTATTTTTGTTGTGTGATTGCTTCATTTTAGAAAACTTATTTTCCCAGACCGTGAATATAATTTGCTCTAGTCATACTGATTTGCAAAGCACTGAGGTATATTCAATTAGCAGTCGAACAAACTTTACCCTGTTGGACGTGAAATCAAGATGTGAACATGAATTTATCCTATCTCCCTCTCCTTCGAATTTTCGTTTGAGTTGGCCCAGAAACTTCAGTACCCCAGAAATTGTTGCATCAACAATGTTTGCAAATTAGCGACAATGTTTTATTCGTGTTCTTTCGTGCATTTATAGTTGTCATCGACTTTTGTTTACCGCAGAGTATGTTTATCATAGTACGTTTAGTTTCTAGTTTGCCCTCGAGACAATTATGAGCCTATTGTGAAATTTTACTAAACTTGAAAATACAGCAAGGCTAAGGAATTGCGAAACGAAGTTTGCCGCGTAACCCATTTTCATGAAGTTAGCAATACTGAAATAGCGTTCAGTGTCGGGGTCTTAGGGTAGATTGTTTACAATCAGGACAAGATTTCCAGAATTAGGGATCATTTACATTAAAGGAAGCAAACCGGAATTTTTAAGATCTTTGCACGGGAAAGACAGAAAACGAAAGAGAATAAATTAACGTTTGAACATAAAATTTCCTCCTACATGGCATTGTTTTGTTCCCTCCATGCCATTAGCTTGGAAAACATCCTACACCTGTGAAAATTGCTGGGAATGGCTGAATTTATGAAGTGTGATATAGAACTTTCTTTGCTTCACTTTTCTTGATTATTATTAGAATTCACGTTGAAATTTAAAGAAAAAGAAAGTAATTACGATATCATAAATAAAAACATTACCAGGCGATAAACACCGAGAAAGTCTACCGAAATCAATTATCAACAATACATTAGGTTTGGACCAGAGACTTAAACGATTCCGGTTCAAGCCAATTTTCGCAGGTTCTGGCATGGCACGCACAAAGGAAAATTTGTCGTACATCAGGACAGACAAGTTTCGATCATGTGTATTCTTCGTGAAGGTCACGCGCTCTGGGGTTCGAAAACAAATGTGTTGAGCCAACAAGAGTTTGTTATCTAGCTGTTTGTTATCTGTATTTACTTTTGCGTGTTAATGAATTGTGTTTTCAGTCTTTTGTCTACTGTTCATTAAAATATATTTTTTTTTCACCTCGGGCTGCCTCGAGTAAGAATGATAATGATAACCACTCGTTAAGAATAGAAAAATTGAATTTTACTCGTAGATATTACAAAAACATAGGAATTCTCAGTTATGAGCTATTCGGTAACGAGCAAGTCAGTCAGAAAACGTAATTATGATCAGAGTTCCTGCAGAGTTTTGTCAAATAATATAATGATTTTTCTTGTTCATAGTTGTATACAATACATCCTTTGACATAAACAGACAAACATGCGATATTTCAAATTCATTAGCGTCTTCCTCCCAGTACTCAAAGTGCTTTCAATGTTGAGGCAGAAGAATACTGTTGGTCTGCCAATTTGATATAGAGAGCCACAAACATCTTGATTACAATTTTAAAGCTTTGACCTACGTGCAGTCCTTTAAACAGAGATCATGTTTTTACCTTTATGTTTTGCATTTTTTCAGGCCAGCTCATCTCTCTCCTGCGATCAGTGTTTAAGAAGGAGGAGAGGTAAATAATACTTATAAAGTTGAATAGAAATCACAATAAGACAATGTTTTTGCCTCTCACATGGGACTATTTTTAGCGCCTGGAAATAAAGCTATCTTTAAGCTATCTTTGGTTCTAAGCCAACAAGGGAACGATGATTACCACTGAAGAGAGCGAAGAGTAATGAAGAGAATAATGTACCAAATTGACGTGGACGATTAAAAGTGAAAGTATTCGAGATTGGATTTAAACAGATAAGAAAACTATACATTCAGTTGAATCTGCTGTCTTTGAAAATCAGTTATAACTCATTGTTATTCCTGAGCCATAAAAAAGTCAGTCTAAATTTTCTAGTGAAAGAAGCAAAAATATTACGTATATTCAAAGGAAATGTAATTTTTGGATTAAAATCCGTTTTCTTCTCTCTTTTCAGACCTCTATCGACATGCTATCACTGCCTTTTTAAGACGTCGGAGGCAATCTCTTAGTAATGGTTAGTATATCTGATTTTGTTTAACAAGTTTTCGGCTGGAACATGGGCATCGTTTTGGAGCGGGAAACTTGAACAGTTTGTCATAAAAATTCTGGAAAATATCACCATGCCAAATTTTTAAATTCAACTAAGGCAGGAAAAGTATCACTTGGTTTTCTTCAACCTTAGCCCAAGAATAAACTGTTTTCTGTTTGGCGAAAAAGATCTCTGGAAAGAGCTTTTTAGAGAATTAAATCCAGCGCAAGTCTTATTTCGATTAACTTGGCTCAGGATGAAAGAGTTTTTTCTTAGTCGCAGGCTATTTAAACCGGGTAAAATCCAGAGGTTGCCAGCAGGCTCCCAGTAGGCCACGAGTAGCTTACGTGTAACCGTATCCTCCCCCTCCCCCAGGGTAAAACGGAGGCGAGGGAACGTTTACGCAAACCTGACACTAATCGTGTTCCGTGACGTCACTCGTTTGTAAGAAAATGTCCACTGACTTTTTATTGGTTAACCCTTTTTGCCAATTCTTTTGTCAACTCTGATTGGCTAGAGTTGGTGATTTATTTTAATACTTTCGAACAAGATTGTTCGGCAGGCATTTCATCGCCCTCACAGGAGCCCGGCCGTTCGCCTTAAATGGGTGAACAAAAATTTTCTCCCATCCGCATCGCTCTTTAATGTATCATGATCCTCAATATACACCACTAAGACAGTTGTTTTTCTGTAGCTTAAGGTTATCCTTTATTTTAGACTGTGCGAGCAGGGCTGATGACAATTCACCCGTACCTGAAATACAGCTTGCATCCAATGTCGCCGTAAAATTCGGACAGTATGATAACACAGACGACTGGTATGCCTACGTATCTTGGAGTCCAATCAATGGTGCGTAACTGGCTTATTGCCTGTCCTTTATTATTCCAAACAACGCAAACAGCAGTAATAAAGGAGTAGAAAAAAAAAACTAAAAAAAGCAAATAAACGAAAAAGCAAAAACAGAGGAAAAAAGAAAGAAAAGGCGTTATTAGCCTTTGCCCCTGAACACAGAGATCCACTTATTCCACAAGCGAAGCAGTGTAACTTTGTTAGTGGCTTTTTTTAAAACAGTCAGTGAACCAGGAGATCGCTGGCAAAAAGTGAAGTTTTCGCCAGAAGATAAATATTTTCTCTGAGTTAGCTACAAGACCTCACGACGCTGTTGACAAAATTGAGTGTTTCATTAAAACGTTGGGCTAGAACCTGCTTTTGAATAGCAATGGCTGAACAGTGTTTTGATGACTGGTATAAGTATGATGCGTTTCTAAAAGTTCTCTTGGAGTTAAACGTGTTATCGCGCGCAAAAGCGTAAGGAAAATGTTGTATTTGAAGACCGATTGAAAATTATCTGAAAACTAGGAATATGATTTACTTCAATAGAGAAAATCTATAATTATACGTCTGCAATTTATTACAAGGCACAAAAGTTTGCTTGAACCTATTCATATCATGGCCTCTGAGACTTTTCAATCCGAAACAGATATATCCTTTGAATGATATATTTCTCACAATTCCGCTCTAAACTTCATGAAAATATTCGTTGTCGGAATAATTGCCGTGCTTGTCCTAAAGTCTTATATTCTCTCTAATATTTTTTGTTAAATTCATAGATACGGCTGGTTTTTTAAAAGGCTATTCTGTTCGTTACTCGTTTGACAGGGATATACTTTGTGCTAACGTGCCGAAGGTAAGAAGAGAGGTCTCATTGCTAGCCCTATCCATAAGATATTTGATTGATCTGGTCGACTGGTATTGTGTAAACAGGTAAAATAAGTGTATACCCTCATACGATTCGTGGCTATTCCAGCAAAGACTGAATGGAGACTATCAGTTTGAGAAGCCTCAAGATTTATATTCGCAATTTAACAATTGTGCATGAAACATCAGCCGCCCTCCGCAATTTGAGATACCAAAGAGTAACGTAATCTTTCGAAAACTGTCTTCAATTGGGATGAACATCGACTGCGAACGCCTTTATTTCAATACAATTGAACAACCTGGATGCGAACGCAATACTACAGTTGCAGTTCGCATTGTGTAAGCAGACACTCATTAAATGCATTGCGACATCAGTCTTTCTTCGTCCGCGAGAGAGGTTGAGGCCTTGATCAAAGTCAGCCCGCGAGAGTCCTGAAAAGGGTTCGGCACCTCATTATCGGCGTTAGAGCCCAAGCAGACCTCTTGCTCAAGGCCACAAACTTTCTGGCGGCGAAAAAAATGCTGTAGAGCTAATAAGACTAACGATTACAGCCTGCTATATACACAATTCACACACAAAAAGAAATCATCATTTGCTCTTACTGGTATCAAGAATGCCTCTTTTGTAGCTCCAAACTCCAGAGATATATTGCACGGAGAATAGGAAAGAAAAAGGGGAGAAGTGAAGGGAGGGGGGGGGGCAAGACTTTTTTACGTCACAGATAAGCGACCAGGCCAATAAGCAAGATTTAAAAACAGCAGCGTGCGAGTTTTTTGTTCACTTAATGACACTTTTTTAATAATTGCGTGCATGGTATTTTTGGCATACTTTTCTTTTCAACCCCCATTCGTAATTCTCCTCACCAGCTGTCACATCAAAAGGCATAGTATCAGGAAATGATGAAGCTTTGATTAAGGCAAATTTCATGGACTTTCGTTGTACTTTTCTCCTCCTATCATGTTTTTAGAACCAAACGTCTGTCAGAATAAACATGTCTAGTTATGGCTATAATCAGGGTGAGATAATTCACCTACTGGTAAGTTCAAGGAGTGAAATGCAGATTTCCTGATGTTTTACTCTTTTTGTTTTAGTGTCGTCTTTTGCTCTCATATTTCTAAATGCACTAAAATATGTCATTTCACTGACTTATTTTTAATATACTGATCCATCTAACCCTTCTTGCATGCATGCAAAGATGCTTGTATATATACGTGCATGCAGAAATGCTTGCATGCATTCACTCATCCGTCCATTCATCATCCTATTCAATTTTTCATTTACGAATTAAATTTGTTCATCTTTTTGTCCATCCGTTCGTTGGTCCGCTCGTTCGTCAACTTCCCCGTTCCTTCGATATTTTATTCATTCATTCAAATTCCCTAATTTTTTTCTACTCGAAGGTTGCAAGCATCCCCCATAATATGACTGTCACTGGGATGCTGTCATTCTATAACGATAAAAGTAGGTTCTATCAGATTAAAATAATAATAAAGAGCAATAACTGAATATAAGGTCTCAATGGAATGATTAACGGCTAACCGTTACAATTTTTACAGCTAACGGTTTACCCAAAAATGATACAAAACTAACACGCTCTACAAGGAACAGTTTTTACGGTTAGCTTTTTTCACGATTAACGTTTAAAATCTCCCTGGCTGTTTTACGGCTAACGGTTAACCCCATTAAGACCCTCTACATAGAGTATAAAATTTGATAAATTTTAACTGGTGATAAGCTCTTCCTTCGAACGTGGGACAAAGAAAAAAAATTATCCATGAGGAATCGGACCTCAGACTTTCGGATTATGTCAGACTTCACGGTGAAATTTTGAGATGGTCTTAACCTCCTGACAATTTAACCCAATTAGTGGAGGGGGATGGCATCCCCATTTCAGAATTTCCTATTTCCTTTTAGTTGAGTAAAGCCGTTTTCTATTTTAACACCATAAATCACATACATGTAGGATATTCATTTCTGATGATTACACACTTGGCCTCAAGAAGGCACTTGCAGCGTCCACTTGATCTTTAGATCCGTCTTAAATTTACATTTTAGCTTCAACATCACCACCACCATCACAAACTATGACATCAGTTAGGGTAACAACGAAATCATCGACAGCTGCAAAAGCATCCATAGCCACAGAAACATCAAAAGCAAGGACAACGACGAAAGGTGAGGTGCTGACCCTTTTAAAACAAAGATTATCGTTAGTTTCGTCCACCTGTTGCATTGCTTTCGTACCTCTTCCTCGTTTGTGCTCCGGAATTCTGTTAGTGTAGAGCTTGGCCTTTGTGCAAATTATTACTAATAACTTCCAAAAGAACCAATTTTTTTTTACCGACTGTGGTTGGAGGGGGGGGGGGAGTTTGGAGGATTTTGGGGAAGGAGTACATCATACATCATGGTTTTTAGGGGATACAGAGGGGGGGGGGAGGGTCAGTCGACGCCAACAGAGTATAAAGAGGGTACGATTAGAATTGACTTCTTACTTACTGCCAAAGAGGGGGGCTAAGAGAATATATATATGTATATATATATATATATATATATATATATATATATATATATATATATATATATATATATATATATATATATATATATATATATATATATATATATATATATATATATATATATATATATATATATATATATATATATATATATATATACGGGAGGTCCGTATTGGGAAAAACTGTGCACGAGGTCTTGGATACCGGCCTCGTAGGGCACAGTTTTCCCCGATACGGACCGACCTTGGCTGGTGAATAACATTTTTATTTTTTTCTTAAACCTAACAAATGGTTGCGAAAAGAACCGCCCGCGATGAATAATGACTGATTCCTAAGTTAAAAAAAAAATTGGGGTCGATTGGGTGTTGAGTGTATGCAGGGGTTCAAGAAATTATCTGTAGATGATATATTCCCCATATTCATGGGGAGTTGTGGTCATCTATCTATCACCCCTGCCCCGAACCAAACTTACCTTCATTTTTCAGACACTAACAAATAAAAAAAAATCGTCAAATATTCCCAAGAACTTTGAAAAACTCTATCCGTGACAAGAAAATACTTTATCATAATAGGGCTACACAAAAACTTCTCAAAAACACTTTGAGGCAGTCCTGAGATTTTTTTAAAAATTTGTTATTCCTTTTATTAACTAGTGTTGAAATTGATTTAATAATTAAATAATTTTTTTCCCAGGCTCTGACAAACCCATGAAATATGTGTACATTTCAGTTGGTGCTGTAGCTGGTGTCTTGGCTGTAGTATTGGCTGGTGTTTTCCATAAAAAGTTTATTAGAATCTGTGTAAAACGCGGGGGATTTAACTATGATCATCCACCTAGTGGCTTGTATTTTTAATTAAAAAAAAGAACTTTGTTATATTCTCTTGAGAATACTAATAGTGGGGAGCTTTAGCAAACCACGATGGCGATAGCAACGAGGACGTGGCAAAACCAGGGATCTAATTAGCAGAACAATAGCTCAGCGCGTGCGTTTTAAAACTGTGTACATTTCTTAACCATCCTCTGAAAAATAACAACGTGAAATCATCAAAATTTGCGTAGTACGAGAAAGGAAACCCCGACGGAAAATTATTTAAGTTTCCATTTGGAACTCAACGCCGCTCTCATACGCTATGCTGAGGTTAACTTTCGGCGCCATAAAAGATGGTACACACATCCAGTCAGTCGCGAAATTCCAACTGAAATATGTATTAATTTTTGATTCGACGTCTTCCTTGGTTTTGCCGTCCTAACTGCCAAAAGTTCCTAATATCTCTTAGAAGGGCAAACAACTCAGGCAAACTTTGGACTCACGTTTGGATAATATATATCCATAAAAATTTATTTCACCACTTCGAATTTGTCCTATTTAGTAGACTGAAACTGTTAGATTTTCTTGAACTTTGGGGCAATTTCATTTTTATCAAAACGATACCAATGGCCGTACTATCTTTTGAATTTGCTCAGTGTCTCCTCAAGCCATAATATGAATTGCTTTAGGAAACAAAGAAGAGATAGACAATCAACATCACAAAAACCTGATTCCGATCTTTTGAAAAATTGAAGCTCCTTTCTCGATAGTGGGTGACATTTTTGCACGATTTCCCGCCTCCGTAAAGATCTACACGAAATAGCTGTAATTCCCTAGCGAAACCGTCATGAACCTATTAAGGGGGTAACTTTCTAAAGAAATTGTGGTGCTACGTCGTTCTTTATGAAGCACTCTCGCTTTTGAAATAACATATTGGTTAGCCTCATATTAAAACTCTTTTGTGCTGTGAATGAAGCCTGCTCAAGCTTTTACCCTCATCAGCTACACGTGAGGTGGTTGATACCAGTTTTTATCTTTTTGATGGTTTGTAACTTTGAAAGAATATAACAAAAAGACTGACCAAGGCCAGTTGAACACTTTTACAAGATTGAATTATATAATCATTTGTTATCGAAAAATAGGTGTCATTTCGTCACTAGCAGTTTCCATGGCAACGCTTTCATAGGATTATTCAGACGCATTTTTTAGCTTACGGCTAAAATAATTTGAAAACTAACTGGGTAACCCCATGATTTTTCTTAGTGACTGCTTTTGGCACTTGAAAAGGAAAATGCACAAAGATTTTAAAAAAATTCTACAGGGCAGAATTTCAGAAAATTTAGAAAAAGGGAATTTTCACGCATCGCAAATGTCCTTCCGTAGAGTTTCCTAGTTTATTTTTTCTGACGATTCCTTTCAAAGTTATTATTATATTGGTACATTAAAAAGAGGGGGTCACCGGACTTTTTTTCATGCAAAAGCTTTGGTGAGTTAACAATTCCCACGCACGTTCTCGCGCATCTAAAAATCCGGATTCCATAAGATCGACAGTTGCTCATGATCTGTTACGGCTACCGCTGACAATTGCGTGTGCTCGCGCGAGCTCCTACTGTATCCGATCACAAACATCCACAAACGTTTACTGCTAAGAAAGTCATTTAGCAGCCGTTAAAGACAGCCTTCCGGGCTCACCTTGATAGATTTATTTCCAACTTCTGACTATATAAGCCATATTTTTATTGAAAAACAACAGGCGAAAGTTTGAAATGGACTAAATTCCATGGAAAACACGTGTTGGTTGGCGCTTCGATCGGAATGTTTGTTTATAGATTGCGAGTCTTCTAATAGGTAAAACGTTATGCCTGAGATTTTTTCGGGCATCTCTCCTTATTCTTCGTTGCTGGTTTCTTCGAAGTGTTTAACTATGGCGGCCAATATCCTCTTCGTCCATGTGACTCGTGGTGTCTTCGCCGATGAAGTTGTTGGTGGATTAGACAATATGGCGACTAGTCCTATTTTACCAAACCTTGTGTACAGTTTGTGAAGGTCATCGTAAGAGAGACCACTGTCAGCGATATTTTGTGCCATTGATCTTTTAATTGGTCCGGTGTCGGTTACGTTGAACAAGTTGTCACTGAATGGTAGAAGAAGTTCGTGGCGTTGATCTAGGTAGAGCATGTTTGCCACTGCGTGGAGAGCACTGATGACACTGGAATTCTCAACGATGTTTTTCCTGGAGAGGCTTAATGACGATTAAAAAAGAATTTTTCTCAGCGCCCTGACATCTTCTAAAGCATCATGGGCGTCAAATTGTTCCTTGAACAAATGGTTATAAATGCTGCTTTGGTTTGGTTTACAGTATCCACCAGAATCGAGCTCAAGTGCTTTGTGTTTGTTTTTAATTAGTTTTTTCATCAGATGTAGACTATCCGCAAAGTAGACATTCATGTCAGTAATGCCATCCTTGAAGTTTTTATCACTATTTCTTAGGAGAATAGGGACATCGAACGTTGCCGAATTATGACCAATTAAAACAGTTATTTGATTTTCATGTCGCTCAGAAGACTTGACTTTAGTTATAAAAGTCAGGAAGTCACGAAGTGCTTCCTCTATGGTTATACTTTCGACAGGAATGTTTCCTTGGTACAATTTCCTTACTCCTTTTATGGTCTTGATGGTCATACCATTGACAAGGTAGGCACTCTAACTTGTGTTGCTTTTTGGGAGAATGTAAGTGGAGAATTCATGTTTCCCATTTTCACTTACAGCTGACAGTTGGCACATCTCAGCTAGCTTCCCTGTGCAAGTCGTTTCTGTGTCAAAGATAATGAATTGATATTTCTGTTTTGAATCATATTGTAAGTGCACAATCTTTGGCCTTATAGTGTAGGGTGGTGTTATTTCTTCATATCCTTTTAGCTCAGTTCGTGATATTTCTGCAGGCATTTCAAATACATTTTGTGACACTGTTTGATGATATGTTGGATCCAAATTTAGACCTGCTGAAGACTCATAGGTGACCCCTTCACTGACTTCCTTCCTGAGTGTTTGCGAGGTTTTTTGTTTAGATAACTGGCTACGCCTTCTCTTGAATTCCTTTTTTTCTTTTCGTTGTTTGTCATAAAAAACCTTGTCCATGGCTTTAGAATGTCTTTCATAGAGAGAAACTAGCTCAATATTAAGAATCTCTAATGTTTTCCAAATGTAGTTGTATCCAATATTGGTTTGTGCCACCCCACATGCTACTCGAAAATCATTACTTTCACTGCCTCCATAAAAACGAGTTTTGGGGTACTTAGAACCAATGGTGCTATTTTTTTGAGTTCTCTCTTTTTTTGCTGTCGCAAGATTTCGTATCGATTGTATTTTTCGTTTCGATGCGAAGCAACCTATATGTCACCGAGAATCGTCTTCTTTATTTTCGTTTCTGTTTCCTGCATACACAGTGTCCGTTGAATACATCAAATACACGCTGGTGGGCAAACTTCTTACAAAATAAGACAAAAGTTTCGTAGACCGAAAAAAGCCTCGTGCCGCCATATTTGTTTTGAATTTTTCGCCTTTTAAATCTCGCGCTTCCTTCGCGCGTTTCTCTCGCGCGTGACGAATGAGAGTGACCAACTCCCCCGCGAGGAAACTGGCGCCAGCCACCTTAAGTCTGAGAACTTTACAGATTTCTTTAGGATAAAACCTCCCACGTGTGTTTAACAAATTTTCCTTTCGTTACTTCCAGATATTGAGCCTGAAAATCGTGACGTATTCATAATTTTTAATGGTGACGATGACGAATGGGTGGTAAAAAAGCTCCTACCCCTCATTGAAGAACAGCATGGGTTCAAATGCCGAGTTCATTACAGAGACTTCAGAGCTGGTGGTATTATGTATGAGCAGATGTCGGATAGTATTAGTAAAAGTTACAAAAATGTTGTAGTTTACTCGAGGAACTTTTTGAATGGTGGCTTTTGTATATTTGAACTGAATCAAGCAAAGCATAGACTTCTCGACGACAGTTTAGTCATTATAAGAAAAGATGACGTAGATTTAGCATCGCTGCCTGAAGATCTGCGAGAAAGAAGCGTTATCGACCATGGCAGTAATCACGAAAAACCCCACTGGGAAAGAAAACTCATCGAGTTTCTCAAGTTGCCTAACAAAAACAGGCATGAAAGCACAAAAAGTAATGATACAGTAGTATCCTCCATAGACGACGTCGACCCGATCAGAGAAGAAGTTTTCCAAGAAACATTTCCGAACATGGACAGATGACTTGTTTTACTGTCGCGTAATGAGGCGTCAAGTTACCGTTACGAATATTAGTAACATTTAGTTCCTTATGAAGCTTTTGGAACCTTTGACGTTTCTCAACGCAGCTATTTATGGCAAATTTCAAAACATAAAACTTGTTGGATATCATGTCAACTGCACTCGGAAATTCAAGACCCTGGCACACAGATGAGAGACTGGCACGAGAGAGAACTCATGCAATCAGTATACTCAGCACGACTCAATTTTCAAACTCCAAGCGAAGGTGCTAAGTGGATAACATACCGATACATTTCTCTCAGTGTTACACAGCTGGAACACAATCGAAAAATGGCGCGTTTCGAGTTCGACACTATTGTTTTCAGCCCACGCTTGAATGACAATGGCTGTCAAAACTAAACAATGGCCTATTAAAGAAAACCACTCATTTGTAAAATAGCAGGTAATTTAGTGTTAAGAAATTTAAAAGTTTTTCGGAAAAATCAGAGTCGTCACTACATAAACGACGAAATCTGAGAAACTGTGAAAAAGGTATGGAGTTCTTGACGTGTGATGGATGTGAAGATGAATACAACAAGTAAGTATGTGAATCTGTAGGTTTGTAGTAAACACTGGTACATAAGCCGTTGCCTTCAATTGAAATTTTGATGTCTAGAAAAGCCAAAGAAGTGTCGGAAATTTTCCAGGTATATTGAAGAGCCGGATGAAAGGAATTGACGGCGGCTATAAATTGAGTGAATTGTTTTCCGAAAAATCAGAGGCAATGTGCCAGTTTTTCGATAAACGTGGCTATCCTGTTTCTGTCGTTCAAGCGGGCCACCACTGTGCCCAACAAATCGATCGACAGGCAGCACTACAAACGGCCGAGAAGGAAAACACTGACCGCATTCCATTTACTCTTACATTTCACCCTCATAACCACGCAGTTAAATCTATCATTCTTAAAAATTTTAAATTACTCCAAAACGATTCAGAGACTGGCACTATCTTTTCGCAACCCCCACTTATTTCATTCAAACGTGACAAAAACATAGGCAACTTTTTAGTCAGGAGTTCATTTCAAACCAATGACCAATCTGGAACTTTTAAATGCGCTCGCTCACGATGCAAAACTTGTCCTTTCATTTATAACGTAGAGAAAATATCGGGACCCAAAAGATCCATTAAGATCATTGATCACTTTACGTGTACCTCCGTCAATGTTATTTACTGCATAACTTGCATTTATTGCAATAAGTTTTACATCGGCGAAACAGGAAGACGACTGGGTGACCGATTCCGAGAACACCTTCGCGATGTGGAAAGAAATGATAAGGACGCATCCAAACCAGTCGCTAGACACTTTAATCTTTCTAATCATTCTAAACAGCATATGGCAGTTTGCGGCCTTTCCTTACATCTAGGCAGTTCGGAAAGCCGTAAAACACTAGAACAAAAATTTATATTCAAAATCGGCACCCTTAATCCCCACGGAATCAACGAGCGTTTTTCATTCAACTAATTTATTCTTGTTTTCTCGTCACCGTATTCCCACCAATGGCGTAGCTCCACTTTCTGCATATAAACCCACACACAACCCACAATTCCTCTAATCGCTCTGACGAAGGCTAACGCTCGAAACGTCAGCTTTTTTACCCTTTACGGTGGCTAATTTACGTTTTCAACCCAGTTGTTAACACTAAATTACCTGCTATACTCTCCCACCGACGCAGCACCACAGTTTCTTTAGAAACTTACCCCTTTATTCATTTGTAAAATAGACGATTTACTGTGAGTTTTAAAAATGATCTTAGCGCATCAGCTGCTTTATGCAACTAAACCGCGCGATGATGAATGATCAAAGACAAAATGATCGTGATCGGGAGCTCTTTTCAGAGCTCATAGGACCCCCGATCCACCCTCATCTTATACAAGTAGTTCCACCTTTTCTTGAGGAAAGCAATCCAGTTTACATGATTTAAATGAGCGGTGAAGCAACCTGGAAATGCAGAGAGTTTTACTGGATGCCTCGTAGAGTATTTGATTCACTTCAGGCGAGCATCCTGCCTCTCGGCTACAAGCTCAATGAATCCTCCTGCGATCGCGTTGGTCGCACAGTCGGCGAAAATATAAGGAGATTTAAACGCAAGATGGACTCAATTACAAGCGGTAAACAGAGGCAAAAAGTAGGAGCCGAGACGTGGGTTAAAATTACAATAAACCCCGAGGAGATCGCGCTAACACCAAGTGATGTGTTGGCAAAGGTGACGAAAAAGAACAACGACCTTTCGACCACAGTTGAAGGAAAGAGTTATAAAAAAAAGTTATAAAAGCTATAACGATAAAGAATTGATGTTATTACAGCAATGTATATGAATGTAGTTCTAAATTTAAATGTAGTTGTTCAAGTGACAGTGAAATTACACACAAATCATGCAGCACAAATTTTCAGAGAATATGTTTTTTTTTTAATTTCATTGCAAGGTGTAGCTTAGATATTTGAATTTGTCGTGGCCTCATTACATTATAAAACAGTCCTTTGCACATACAAGTAATCAGATTAATTGAAAAATTAAATTCGTAGTTTTTTTCTGTAAGCAGAAGCAACCCCTACATTTCTATTACGACAGATTGAAGATTTCGACTTTGAAATCAATGTAGTGGCGGCTTGCAGTGCGGGGGTGACATTGCATCTCTGAGAGTGGCATGGTTATTTGACTTTGATCACCCATAGAAGCTCAAAAATTTCTTAATATTAGCGCGTAGTTTGACAAAGTTTTTCAACATTCTTGTAATTTTCTTCACCTCAACTGATTTGCCATAAATCTGTTACATTTCTTTTCTCTGTTCTCTCAATGGCGTACGCGTACTAGCTTTCTTATTATTGCCGTTGTCAGTGTTTATTGTTCAAAACACGTACAAAACACAGAGATAGTTTATTTCGCAGAGCGCAATTTTGAAATGTTGACCAGTTTTTTTATCGATAGTACACAAAACATATTTCCCTTCAGCGGTAGTTAACTACTCATTCATTGACTAAGGTATCATGTATCCTAGCCAAAAGTGATCCAATTTCGCACAGTACAATCAGTCTTTCAACGCGATCTTTCCAGACTAATACCACCAGTTAAGGAAAACACTGATTGTCTAGCCAACTTGGAATTCTTGGTTAAAATTTCTGATTATGCTGAAAATTTTAGAGCTTAGAAGTTTCCATTTTAGGTTAGCTATCGCAGAGACAACTTCCATAACCTATAATTCTATTGTCGAGTGGATGAAACTGCCATTTACATTAAATATTAAATGAGTTGAGCTTAATCATTAACATGTTAAAATAAATTGGGCAATTAAGGAAAAAAACTAACCTCGACGCTTTGAATAAGTGCAATTCAAATATTGATAGCCTATTGAGTTACCTTGTATAAATCTTGGAAGAGCTAGTGAATCTCTTTACCTTCATGTATGTATCTAATCGTGAGTTTCCCTTTGGGGAATTTGGATGGAACAAAGTTGCATTTACATCTACTGTGAAGGATCTCTTTAAAATGGTTGCCATCAAACAAATATTCAGAGGTGATTCGGAATTTTTTTGAGTCATTTAGTTTGCATGAGAACAAAACAATAGAGGAGCTTATTTTTAAGTCGCGTTAGTATTCTTTTCATCATTTTTATCTTATTCCTTTACATCGGTTGTTGATAACAACATCATTATATTATGAAATATTTCTAACAAGCAGCGTACAAAAATTAAGCTCTACAATTTGACTACCCCTTTTGGATGATGGTAAATTCCAGAGATGTGAAATTCATTTCTGATTTAGAATTTTGATCTCATTCACAGCAAGAGTTAATTTTTCAAACAGACACTTTTACATTAAATCGAACAAGGCTAAGGGTGTTGTGAATGATACTCCTGTAGACAGACCTAATAAGAGGGCAACTAGGTATCTCATGTCCTTTTCGTCGCCCTGCGCCACTCAGAGTGGTATAGCAAAATCGACTTTATATCCGTTGGTCTTCTTGATCTGAATTTAACCCATGACAGTTTAGCAAGGATTTTGGTTATCTTCCCTAATCGGTAGAGTCTTAAACTTCTTCAAAACAAATTCAACATGAATCTCCAACTGATCACTAGATCTTTTGGTTAGGGTATTTAGTCCTCTAATAGCTAACTGACCGTGATAGCAGTTACCTACATCATGAAAACATAATGCAGTTTGTCTATCTGTAAAGAAAGAATAAAGCTCTGAAACTGGATTAACTCTAGATTAAGCAAATTTAGGAGTCGTATACTACACAACATTGAATTAAAATGCAGAGAAGCTACGAAGATTTTTTTAAATCCTAACAGTTTTGGAATGTGTTCTGTGCACACTGTTTGACAGATACAATTGAGTGTGTTCTTTAACTTAACTGATAGCTTCTCCAAAAATTTATTTCCAACCCTCCAATGTGTCCAATGAAGTTTCCCTTGCAATGTTTATAAATACATGTTGGAAAGTAAATATTCTGGATATTAAGAACAAAGCTAACGCCGATCCCATCAGGATGCTGGTCACAACTCAGGTACGTACCCCATGATGGCCTAACTCACCACAGAGTTTCTCTTAGGCTCAGTAGTAGAGCATCTGAGAGTGGATTCCGGTCTAGGACCTGCTTCTTTGCTAAGGACTCAGATTTTTTACTTTGTTTCCCACTCATGACAAAATTATTGACATCTATCTATACATAATTCGTATTTATCCAGGTTATAACAAAACCATGAAGTATGTGCTTATTTCCGTTGGTCGACGGCAGGTGTCGTGTGCATGATTATAGTAGCTGCTGTCTTATGTAGAAAGTTCTCTGTTCCACACGGGGAGAGCCCTAGATGTCAAGGTATTTATCTTATTTGCTTGCTATAAGTCATAGACCAGACGTAAACAAATCAGTTCTGTTGTAGGTGCTCCTTCTTTGAGCCTGGTTCGATTTTGGCCTTCTCTTCGTTCGTTGGGCCTTGTCGAGTTTTCATTGCCGGGATATGGTCTTTTAATCCCTACTCTGAATGCAGGCGGTGTGCGCATTCTGATTGCGTTGCATCATGGTCGTAAAGCGAAAAGTGAGTCATTTGCGTCCTTTCGCGGTCGAGTGAATATTTCTGGTGGCAGCAGGACAGTGTGAGTAAACGTGGAATGTAATAGAATTCACTGTCTGTTGCCGTTCCTTCGAAAGTTAAAAAGTGTTTCCGAGCGTGTGCGACTCCTATTATTCCTCCGTCACAAATTTCGTCGTCTTAAAAGAAAACTGAAGAGATTAAAAAAGAATCGAAACTGCAGCCTTTCTTGTTTATCTATTCATTTGGCGGCAATTACACTCACAGCCGATGGCTATGTGGATAATATCAAATTCGCGAGTTATTTAACAGGGAATCGACCCTTGACATGCAAACGCATTCCAAAGAGGCAGCGATCCTCTTATACAAGAACTATTTTTATGTCATACACTTAAAGGCGTAAATACGGGATTCGTGAGAGGAGAAGCCTTACGCCTCCTAAGACCAAATTCGTCACGCTCAACGTTTAATAAAAAACGTACAGAGTTTCAAATATGCTTAAAGAATAGAGAATACCTAAAATAAGGTTTTGAGAAACGTATCTCTGGAGTTGTTCTCTGCGGGAAAGACTGATACTTAAAAACAACAAAAAATAGTGTTACCTTTTGTAACACAATCCCATCAGGCTTTGCCAAACCTTAAAAACATACAGACGGGGAAATGACACCTTAAAACTAACCCTTGCTATCGTATCGCTAACGAAAGTCACTGATGAATATCCAAATAACATCTAAGCTTTCAGGTTAGAAGATTTAAAAGCGCAAGCGAATGGCGAGAGTCGCATAGGCCTATCAACACCTTTTAACGATCGACTCCCTTTTGCTTTCCGGCTTACCCGGCGTGTCGCCCTGCGCATTGTAGAGTTATTAATTGGTCTAGTGACTCCTTTCATTGCTCCAATTCAACTGTTCTTCTTTCAATGATCAAGATAGTTGATTTACAATACAACACTCGCGATAAGTTAATTTGCTTTTTCTTAGGAAAGTAAATTTACAACACAATTGAGTATACAATAGTAGCGCTGTGTAACGCAACAATAGGCCTTTTCTCGGCGATAATCGGTCTCAAACACCATCACTTAAAATGCGAGAAACACATATACCGTCGGAGAGCGTTTGAGAGCGGTGACAGCGTTTGGTCAGAGCTGTTAAAGAAAGATCAAAGCGGCCACCCAAATCTTTGAAAGGCTCCAAACTGCGACGTACATCAAATTTGACCTTCTCGAAATATGGTCTCATATTACATACCAAAAAAAACAGTGATCGCGTTTGTCCTTCAGAACCATAGAATACGCGACAAATACGTACGAAAAATACTTTTACAAATTCAGAATAAATCAAATTACATTTATCTATGGTGAAAGGGAAAAGGAACGGCCTAACTTTTACGGAATGTTCCGTCAAAATCTGCCGAATTCTGCAGCTTTGACCGCCATATTGAAAATGAAGCTACCACAATGCAACGCAATCGGACTGCGCACACCGCCTGCTATGAATGCTTGGCTTCACTGTTTTTTTTAACATGCATAATTTTAGCTTAAGGTGTTACTTGATCGCTCGGGAATATGAATTAATTTTTGAGTGCATATCATTCCGTTAAAGGAAAAAAAATACAGTGATAATGTAATTTTTATCTTTCATTGTTCTCAAAATTTGGAGACGAGACTCCAAACGCAATCTATAAATGAAAACTGGATGCTTGAAGCTCGATTTCGTTTAATTGGTATCGCATCCGTTACCAAGACTTTGAAGCTGGTTCAATATATGCGCTAAAATTAGTAAGCTTAGCAGATATACAAAGTCCGGTCGATGGAGCAAATTATAGTTCTTCAGATTTGAAACCTAATGAGCATCTGACGATTAGATGATAGAATTAATTAATTAATTAATAGATAACTATAGAGGTAAATAAATAAAAACGTTTCGTATGGAATCATTAAGGTTTAGTAGGAGTATTTACTTGAAAAACGTAGAAGTTCATTCGGAAGCAGAAGAGAACAGCACAGATCTAGTTAAAAAAAGCGAGAGTTTGCCTCGTCTCACAAGCAAGTGATGAATTAAGGATTAATTGCAAGTATAGTTCATTGCTGTGGGTTGTGTTGTAGTTGCCTGAGCTTTTAATCTGCTGTGGGTTTTTTACGGTTATAAATTTTGGCAACATTCTCCTTATTAGGCACTCTTCCAAAACATGATACCAAAACATCCAGGAAACGATTTCAATAACCGATAACGACCTCTGAGAAATTTTCCTGAAATTTCAAAAAAAGAAATTTTCTTTGAAATATTGACAAGGATAATTTATTCATTGATCTTGGGAATGAAATGTGACATAATTATCCAGGTGTGAAATTATACTAACTTAGATAGCATGTCTTAGTGCAGTTAAATCTGCATCACAAAACAATAATAGTCAGTCGATTCCAGTCGACCTTGGTTATGGTGCTATTTCAGCTTCTCTACCCAAGACAACGAGCGCCGATTCTTGGTGAACGTGCCTTTTAGCTGTGGCAATTGATTTGAGAGTAACAGTAGACCCCATGAATGCGAGAATCATCATAGCTACAGTAGGGGCACTTATTATCACTGGAACGTTGACAGAATGTTTAGACCAAGATGAACACAACATAGCAGGGTGCCTACGAGCCTGCGGCTGGGACGAGCAGAAATCTTTGACCAAGAGAGCTCGGGTAAGTTGTCTCTTTCTCTTCCATTTACATCGAAATTTCCATGTTATGGTGAAATCGGCCGTTAGCTGAGAACGTAGCGTTTTGAAAGTATAGAGGTTTTAATCGCAAAATTCACTTGAAGCGTTCAAGGCAGAGTTGCGGCTGCCGCGAATTTCTGATATTTGTATACAAACAAAAAAATTGACAAAGTAAATTCTGTGCATGTGATATTTGACGACAATTACCGTTAATGATACCAAAACATCCAGGAGTATTGCCTTGAAGAATTCGACTGCAGAGATCAACCGAAGAAAATTTCGTACCGAAGGCCTTTGCTTTATCCAGCTCAAAGTGCGGTTAAAAAGAAATGTCATCAATTTCACCAATTTCACCAATTTCTGAATTAGTTTGCCAGATATGATAGTGCAAACAGAAATGGAGCTAATAATCTTCCATGCAAATTCGGTAATAAAGATTTAACATGGTTTGCTTGATCATACATATTATAGGTCAATGAAGTTAATGTAGCATCAAATGATTGATGCTTTAATGCACGATCACGTCGTATTGAGTTTTTCAATCCCTTTTTGTGCTTTGGCCAGATGATTTTACTCTGAAATACCTCTCTTTTCGCTTTGTCACATGGAGCACTATTTTCGTTGAGTGATTGCTTCAATTTAGAAAATATATTATCCCAAACAGGGAATATAATTTGCTCAAGTCATACTGATTTGCGAAGCACTGAGGTATATTCAATTAGCAGTCGAACAAACTTAACCCTGTTGGACGTGAAATCAAGATGTGAACATGAATTTATCCTGTCTCTCGCTCCTTCGAGTTTTCTTTTGAGTTGGCCCAAAAACTTCAGTACCTCAGAAATTGTTGCATCAACAATGTTTGCAAATTAGCGACAATGTTTTATTCGTGTTCTTTCGTGCATTTATAGTTGTCATCGACTTTTGTTTACCGCAGAGTATGTTTATCATAGTACGTTTAGTTTCTAGTTTGCCCTCGAGACAATTATGAGCCTATTGTGAAATTTTACTAAACTTGAAAATACAGCAAGGCTAAGGAATTGCGAAACGAAGTTTGCCGCGTAACCCATTTTCATGAAGTTAGCAATACTGAAATAGCGTTCAGTGTCGGGGTCTTAGGATAGATTGTTTACAATCAGGACAAGAATTCCAGAATTAGGGATCATTTACATTAAAGGAAGCAAACCGGAATTTTTAAGATCTTACTGTTTGTTTGCATGGGAAAGACAGAAAACGAAAGAGAATAAATTAACGTTTGAACATAAAATTTCCTCCTACATGGCATTGTTTTGTTCCCTCCATGCCATTAGCTTGGAAAACATCCTACACCTGTGAAAATTGCTGGGAATGGCTGAATTTAGGAAGTGTGTTATAAAACTTTCTTTACTTCACTTTTCTTGATTATTATTAGAATTCACGTTGAAATTTAAAGAAAAAGAAAATAATTACGATATCATAAATAAAAACATTGCCAGGCGATAAACACCGAGAAAGTCTACCGAAATCAATATATTGCGGTTATCAACAATACATTAGGTTTGGACCAGAGACTTAAACGATTCCGGTTCAAGCCAATTTTCGCAGGTTCTGGCATGGCACGCACAAAGGAAAATTTGTCGTACACCAGGACAGACAAGTTTCGATCATGTGCATTCTTCGTGACTGTCACGCGATCTGGGGTTCGAAAACAAATGTGTTGAGCCAACAAGAGTTTGTTATCTTGCTATCTGTATTAACTTTTGCGTGTTAATGAATTGTATTTTCAGTCTTTTGTCTACTGTTCATTAAAATATATTTTTTTTCACCTCGGGCTGCCTCGAGTAAGAATGATAATGATAACCACTCGTTAAGAACAAAGAAGAGAGAATTTTAACAACGTGTGGAACGTGACAGGTAAATAATTGTGGTCGACCACATCCAATGATTTTCTTTATCAGTCGATTCTTTTCTATACAATTAAAAGTTAACATATTCAAAAGCAGTCATTTCTTTATCTCATTTAATATGCGTTAAAACCATGAGTATGAGGTCTACTTCGTAAATTTTGATTACAAAAGTATAACTTGTTTTCGTTTATCCACAAGTTATGGGAATTGCTTCTTCGATAGAATGAACGAACCACAAAGATTAGTGCTCCAACAGGTCATAGATCTGAAATAAATGTAGGCCCCATTCACACCAGCAAAACATGTTTTCCACTCTCCCTAAGTAGTGGTTAACCCTCACTTCAATAAGTGGTTGAGATCTAACCTCTCGTTACCTAAGATACCGACAGATTATCCACCCAATAAGAATAGATATGTATAGAGTCATGTTTGATGCTGTTATTTGAATGGAACCACACCTTTTGAAACGAAACGAGCATAAACTAGAGGGACAATGAAGATCATGAAAGGAATGAAAGCAATTTGAGACCAAGGCACTATTCACGCGGAAATGGATACTAGGCTTTTATTTGTGCCAATTTGGAACGGCTATTTTTGCGTTTTCTGCTTAATTTGCAACTGTTGAATTGAAAGCCCTGATCAGTGCTTTCCTTTTTTTTATAGAAATTAAATGATAACATTAGCCTGCGTCAAAACTCCAAGATCGTCTCATTTTTCAGTTTCGATCAATTCTGAATGTGTTAAAGCTTTCTCCATCCATCAGGATGGAGCTAAACAAACACACTTTAGAGTAAATCCATGAAATGCAGGGGAAGAAGATCTAATTTATTGATGTAAATGCAAATAGAAAAATTGAATGCGATATTTCAAATTCATTAGTGTCTTTTTCCAAGTACTCAAAGCGCTTTCGATGTTGAGGCAGAAGAATACTGTTGGTCTGTCAATTTGAAGTCGAGAGCCACAAACATCTTGATTACAATTTTAAAGCTTTGACCTACGTACAGTCCTTTAAACAGAGATCATGTTTTTACCTTTATGTTTTGCATTTTTTCAGGCCAGCTCATCTCTCTCCTGCGATCAGTGTTTAAGAAGGAGGAGAGGTAAATAATACTTATAAAGTTGAATAGAGATCACAGTAAGACAATGTTTTTGCCTCTCACATGGGACTATTTTTAGCGCTCGGAAATAAACTATCTTTGAGCTATGTTTGGTTCTAAGCCAACAAGTGAACGATGATTATCACTGAAGAGAGCGAAGAGTAATGAAGAGAATAATGTACCAAATTGACGTGGATGATTAAAATTGAAAGTATTCGAGACTGGATTGAAACAGATAAGAAAACTATACATTCAGTTAAATCTGCTGTCTTTGGAAATCAGTTATAACTCACTGTTATTCCTGAGCCATAAAAAAGTCAGTCTAAATTTTCTAGTGAAAGAAGCAAAAATATTACGTATATTCAAAGGAAATGTAATTTTTGGATTAAAATCCGTTTTCTTCTCTCTTTTCAGACCTCTATCGACATGCTATCACTGCCTTTGTAAGACGTCGGAGGCAATCTCTTAGTTATGGTAAGTATATCTGATTTTGTTTAACAAGTTTTCGGCTGGAACATGGGCATCGTTTTGGAGCGGGAAACTTGGACAGTTTGTCATAAAAAATTCTGGAAATATCACCATGCCAAATTTTTAAATTCCTCTAAGGCAGGAAAAGTATCGCTTGGTTTTCTTCAACCTTAGCCCAAGAATAAACTGTTTTCTGTTTGGCGAAAAAGATCTCTGGAAAGAGCTTTTTAGAGAATTAAATCCAGCGCAAGTCTTATTTCGATTAACTTGGATCAGGATGAAAGAGTTTTTTCTTAGTCGCAGGCTATTTAAACCGGGTAAAATCCAGAGGTTGCCAGCAGGCTCCCAGCAGGCCACGAGTAGCTTACGTGTAACCGTATCCTCCCCCTCCCCCAGGGTAAAACGGAGGCGGGGGAACGTTTACGCAAACCTGACTCTAATCGTGTTCCGTGACGTCACTCTTTTGTAAGAAAATGTCCACTGACTTTTTATTGGTTAACCCTTTTTGCCGATTCTTTGTCAACTCTGATTGGCTAGAGTTGGTGATTTATTTTAATACTTTCGAACAAGATTGTTCGGCAGGCATTTCATCGCCCTCACAGGAGCCCGGCCGTTCGCCTTAAATGGTGAACAAAAATTTTCTCCCATCCGCATCGCTCTTTAATGTATCATGATCCTCAATATACACCACTAAGACAGTTGTTTTTTTGTAGCTTAAGGTTATCCTTTATTTTAGACTGTGCGAGCAGGGCTGATGACAATTCACCCGTACCTGAAATACAGCTTGCACCCAATGTCACCGTAAAATTCGGACAGTATGATAACACAGACGACTGGTATGCCTACGTATCTTGGAGTCCAATCAATGGTGCGTAACTGGCTTATTGCCTGTCCTTTATTATTCCAAACAACGCAAACAAAAAAGCGAAAAAAGAAGAAAAAAGAAAGAAAAGGCGTTATTAGCCTTTGCCCCTGAACACAGAGATCCACTTATTCCACAAGCGAAGCAGTGTAACTTTGTTAGTGGCTTTTTTAAAACAGTCAGTGAACCAGGAGATCGCTGGCAAAAAGTGAAGTTTTCGCCAGAAGATAAATATTTTCACTGAGTTAGCTATAAGACCTCACAACGCTGTTGACAAAATTGAGTGTTTCATTAAAACGGTGGGCTAGAACCTACTTCTGAATAGCAATGGCTGAACAGTGTTTTGATGACTGGTGTAAGTAAGATGCGTTTCTTAAAGCTCTCTCATTTCTTGGAGTTAAACGTATTATAGCGCGCAAAAGCGTAGGGAAAATGTGGTATTTGAAGACCGATTGAAAATTATCTGAAAACTACGAGTATGATTTACTTCAATAGAGAAAATCTATAGTTATACGTCTGCAATTTATTACAAGGCACAAAAGTTCGCTTGAACCTATTCATACCATGGCCTCTGAGACTTTTCAATCCGAAACAGATATATCCTTTGAATGATATATTTCTCACAGTTCCGCTCTAAACTTCATGAAAATATTCGTTGTCGGAATAATTGCCGCACTTGTTCTAAAGTTTTATATTCTCTCTAATATTTTTTATTAAATTCATAGATCCGGCTGGTTTTTTAAAAGGCTATTCTGTTCGCTACTCGTATGACATTGATATACTTTGTGCTAACGTGCCGAAGGTAAGAAGAGAGGTATCATTGCTAGCTCTATCCATAAGATATTTGATTGATCTGGTCGACTGGTATAGTGTAAACAGGTAAAATAAGTGTATACCCTCATACGATTCGTAGCTATTCCAGCAAAGACTGAATGGAGACTATCAGCTTGAGAAGCCTCAAGATTTATATTCGCAATTTAACAATTGTGCATAAAACATCAGCCGCCCACCGCAATTTGAGATATGAAAGAGTAACGTAATCTTTCGAAAACTGTCTTCAATTGGGATGAACATCGACTGCGAACGCCTTTATTTCAATACAATTGAACAACCTGGATGCGAACGCAATACCACAGGTGCAGTTCGCATTGTGAAAGCAGACACTCATTAAATACATTGCGACATCAGTCTTTCTTCGTTCGCGAGAGAGGTTGAGGCTTTGATCAAAGTCAGCCAGCGAGAGACCTGAAAAGGGCCCTGCACCTCATTATCGGCGTTAGAGCCCAAGCAGACCTCTTGCTCAAGGCCACAAACTTTCTGGCGGCGAAAAAAATGCTGCAGAGCTAGTAAGACTAACGATTACAGCCTGCTATATACACAATTCACACACAAAAAGAAATCCTCATTTGCCCTTTCTGGTATCAAGAATGCCTCCAAACTCTAGAGATATATTGCATGGAGAATAGGAAAGAAAAAGGGGAGAAGTGAAGGGAGGGGGGGTGGGGGGAGGGTGCAAGACTTTTTTACGTCATGGATAAGCGACCAGGCCAATAAGCAAGATTTAAAAACAGCAGCGTGCGAGTTTTTTGTTCACTTAATGACACTTTTTTAATAATTGCGTGCATGGTATTTTTGGCATACTTTTCCTTTCAACCCCCATTCGTAATTCTCCTCACCAGCTGTCACATCAAAAGGCATAGTATCAGGAAATGATGAAGCTTTGATTAAGGCAAATTTCATGGACTTTCGTTGTACTTTTCTCCTCCTATCATGTTTTTAGAACCAAACGTCTGTCAGAATAAACATATCTAGTTATGGCTATAATCAGGGTGAGAAAATTCACCTACTGGTAAGTTCAAGGAGTGAAATGCAGATTTCCTGATGTTTTACTCTTTTTGTTTTAGTGTCGTCTTTTGCTCTCATATTTCTAAATGCACTAAAATATGTCATTTCACTGACTTATTTATAATATACTGATCCATCTAACCCTTCTTGCATGCATGCAAGAATGCTTGTATATCAACGTGCATGCAGAAATGCTTGCATGCATTCATCCATCCATTCATTATCCCATTCAATTTTTCATTTACGAATTAAATTTGTTCATCTTTTTGTCCATCCGTTCGTTGGTCCGCTCGTTCGTCAACTCCTCAGCGCCTTCGATATTTTATTCATTCATTTAAATTCCCTAATTTTTTCTACTTGAAGGTTGTAAGTATCCCCTATAATACGACTGTTTTTGGGATGCTGGTATTCCCTGAAGATAAAAGTAGGTTCTATTAGATTAAAATAAAGAGCATTAACTGAATATAGGGTCTCAATGGAATGATTTACGGCTAACCGTTACAATTTTGGCTATTTACAGCTAACGGTTTACCCAAAAATGATACAAAACTAACACGCTCTACAAGGAACAGTTTTTACGGTTAGCTTTTTTCACGATTAACGTTTAAAATCTCCCAATTTTACGCCTAACGGCTAAATGTTTTTGGCTGTTTTACGGCTAACGGTTAACCCCATTAAGACCCTCCACATAGAGCATAAAATTTGGTAAATTTTAACTGGTGATAAGTTTTTCCTTCGAACGTGGGACAAAGAAAAAAATTCTCCATGAGGAATCGGACCTCAGACTTTCGGATTATGTCAGACTTCACGGTGAAATTTTGAGATGGTCTTAACCTCCTGACAATTTAACCCAATTAGTGGAGGGGGATGGCATCCCCATTTCAGAATTTCCTATTTCCTTTTAGTTGAGTAAAGCCGTTTTCTATTTTAACACCTTAAATCACATACATGTAGGATATTCATTTCTGATGATTACACACTTGGCCTCAAGAAGGCACTTTCAGCGTTCACTTGATCTTTAGATCCATCTTAAATTTACATTTTAGCTTCAACATCACCACCACCATCACAAACTATGACATCAGTTAGGGTAACAACGAAATCATCGACAGCTGCAAAAGCATCCATAGCCACAGAAACATCAAAAGCAAGGACAACGACGAAAGGTGAGGTGCTGACCCTTTTAAAACAAAGATTATCGTTAGTTTCGTCCACCTTTTGCATTGCTTCGTACCTCTTCCTCGTTTGTGTTCCGGAACTCTGTTAGTGTAAAGCTTGGCCTTTGTGCGAATTATTACTAATAACTTCCAAAAGAACCAATTTTTCTTTACCGACTGTGGTTGGAGGGGGGAGTTTGGAGGATTTTGGGGAAGGAGTACATCATACATCATGGTTTTTAGGGGGTACAGAGGTGGGGGGGAGGGTCAGTCGACGCCAACAGAGTATAAAGAGGGTACGATTAGAATTGACTTCTTACTAACTGCCAAAGAGGGGGGGCTAAGAGAATATATATATATATGTTATTTACCAGACGGGAGGTCCGTATTGGGAAAAACTGTGCCCGAGGTCTTGGATGCCGGCCTCGTAGGGCACAGTTTTCCCCAAAACGGACCGACCTTGGCTCGTGAATAACATTTTAATTTTTCTAAAACCTAACAAATGGTTGCGATAAGAACCGCCCGCTGTGAGAGGGCTGGATGGGGAGAACACTGCCCGCCCTCGGAACCAATCAGATTGCAGGATTTGTAGAATACCGCCCGCTCACGGACTGAGAAAAAAATAATATGGGGTATCAGGTAAATTTTGTGGTGACACAAGCAAAATCCCCCTGAGTTGAGTGCATGAAGGGGTTCAGGAAATTATCTGCAGATGATATATTCTCCACATTCATGGGGAGTTGTGATCACCTATCTATCACCCCTGCCCCGAACCAAACTTACCTTCATTTTTCAGACACTTATAAACAAAAAAAAAATCGTCAAATATTCCCAAGAACTTTGAAAAACTCTATCCGTTTTCATATGACAAGAAAATACTTTATCATAATAGGGCTACACAAAAACTTCTCAAAAACACTTTAAGGCAGTCCCGAGATTTTTTTTAAAATTTGTTATTCCTTTTATTAACTAGTGTTGAAATTGATTTAATAATGAAATAATTTTTTTCCCAGGCTCTGACAAACCCATGAAATATGTGTCCATTTCCGTCGGTGCTGTAGCTGGTGTCTTGGCTGTAGTATTGGCTGGTGTTTTCCATAAAAAGTTTATTAGAATCTGTGTAAAACGCGAGGGATTTAACTATGATCGTCCACCTGGTGGTTTGTATTTTTATTTCAAAAAAAGAACTTTATTATATTCTCTTGAGAATACTAATAGTAGGGAGCTTTAGCAAACCACGATGGCGATAGCAACGAGGACGTGGCAAAACCAGAGATCTAATTAGCAGAACAACAGCTCAGCGCGTGCGTTTTAAAACTGTGTACATTTCTTAACCATCCTCTGAAGAAAAACAACGTGAAATCATCAAAATTTGCGTAGTTCGAAAAAGGAAACCCCGACGGCAAATTATTTAAGTTTCCATTTGGAACTCAACGCCGCTCTCATACGCTATGCTGAGGTTAACTTTCGGCGCCATAAAAGATGGTACACACATCCAGTCAGTCGCGAAATTCCAACTAAAATATGTATTAATTTTTTGAATCGACGTCTTCCTTGGTTTTGCCGTCCTAACTGCCAAAAGTTCCTAATATCTCTTAGATGGGCAAATGACTCAGTTGATCCTCTTTGCTTTCGCGCAAACTTTGAATTCACGTTTGGATAATATATATCCATAAAAATTTATTTCACCACTTCGAATTTGTCCTATTTAGTGGACTGAAACTGTTAGATTTTCTTGAACTTTGAGGCAATTTCATTTTTACCAAAACGATACCAATGGCCGTACTATCTTTTGAATTTGCTCCGTGTCTCTTCAAGCCATAATATGAATTGCTTTAGGAAACAAAGAAGAGATAGACAATCAACATCACAAAAACCTGATTCCGATCTTTTGAAAAATTGAAGCTCCTTTCTCGATAGTGGGTGACATTTTTTTGCACGATTTCCCGCCTCCGTAAAGATCTACACGAAATAGCTGTAATTCCTTAGCGAAACCGTCACGAACCTATTAAGGGGGTAACTTTCTAAAGAAATTGTGGTGCTACGTCGTTCTGATTGAAGCACTCTCGCTTTTGAAATAACATAATGGTTAGCCTCATATTAAAACTCTTTTGTGCTGTGAATGAAGCCTGCTCAAGCTTTTACCCTCATCAGCTACACTTAAGTCTGAGAATTTTACAGAGTTCTTTATGATAAAACCTCCCGCGTGTGTCTAACAAATTTTCCTTTCGTTACTTCCAGATATTGAGCCTGAAAATCATGAGGTATTCATAATTTTTAATAGTGATGATAATGAATTGGTGAAAGATGAGCTCCTGCCCCTCATTGAAGGACAGCATGGGTTCAAATGCCGAGTCCATTACAGAGACTTCAGAGCTGGTGGTATTATCTATGACCTGATGTCGGATAGTATTAGTAAAAGTTACAAAAATGTAGTAGTTTACTCGAGGAACTTTTTGAAAAGTGGCTTTTGTGATTTTGAACTGAATCAAGCAAAGCATAGACTTCTCAGAAAAAATGACGACAGTTTGGTTATTATAAGAAAAGATGACGTAGATTTAAGATCGCTGCCTGAAGATCTGCAAGAAAGAAGCGTTATCGACTATGGCAGTAATCATGAAAAACCCCACTGGGAAAGAAAACTCATCGAGTTTCTCAAGTTGCCTAACAAAAACAGACATGAAAGCACAAAAAGTAATGACACAGTAGTATCCTCCATAGACGACGTCGACCCGATCAGAGAAGTTTTCCAAGAAACATTTCCGAACATGGACAGATGACTTGTTTTACTTTCGCGTAATGAGGCATCAAGTTACCGTTACGAATATTAGTAACATTTAGTTCTTTTTTGAAGCTTTGCGAACCTTTGACGTTTCTCAACGCAGCTATTTATGGCAAATTTCAAAACATAAAACTTGTTGGATATCATGTCAACTGCACTCGAAAATTCAAGACCCTGCCACACAGATGAGAGACTGGCACGAGTGAGAACTCATGCAATTAGTATACTCAGCACGACTTTCAATTTTCAAACTCCAAGCGAAGGTGCTAAGTGGATAACATATCGATACATTTCTCTCAGTGACACACAGCTGGAACACAATCGTAGTTAAAGTAGTGACAGTACCGATAATCAGTGGCTGTTTTAGTATTATGAGGGTCAAATTTGTAGACGATCCCACGTCACTATTTACTGTTTGTGCCCATTTATAAAAATATTCTACATTTTAATCAGTTCTCTCCTCTCTTAACCTCAAATTTGTCAATGATAAGATTTATAAGTAATTGGTCTTTGATAGGATTTATAAGTAATTGGTCATTGAATAGATTTATAAGTAATTGGTCTTTGTGTTTGACAGTTTTGGATAATCATAATTCTCTCAATCGGCCAGAGATCAAGACAATTGCATTATCATTAACCATCATTACTGTACATTCGTCTGGAACAAGCGATACTACCTTTTCATTTTTTCGTTCTACTATCACTGCAATTGTAATTACCAAAAAGCTATCGTAAAGATTCCGTACATGGCGCAAAGCCACTTTCAAAAGGGCTGCATCACGAAGCAACAAGTCGGAAAGACAAATTGGAAAAATTTGTGGAACATAACAGAATTTTTTTTATGTGTCTTATAGCTCTCAAAGCTATGCATTGTAAATAGTACAGAGTGCTTTGTCTTAAAATAAAATCATCAACCCTACAAGAATCTTTCTGTATCGTAACTGTTCGTAAGTATTGTTCCTTTTTTGCAATGATGATCATAAAAAAAGGTTTGCAAAGCTCGATGCTCTACCCTCTTCGTTTTCGTTACACACGTAGTTGGGAAAGAGTAACTGCTCATTTTCCTTCGAAATTTTACTTGCGTTCGTTTCAAAGTTGTCAAAATTATGTTGTAGATTGTTTACGTACCTGGAAGAAACGCACCCACACCAAGCGCAACACCTGAAAACACAGCCCATCAAGAAGCAACGAACACTGACTACATGAACGGTATGAAAAATGAGGTTCTTCTGTTACGTCACATTCTTTATCGTATGTTACGTCATGATGAGGCTCGTTCGCGCGCAAGCTTCTAATGGGCTGCACGCGAAAACACGAACAAACAAACAAACAAATAAAACGAAAAAAAGAAACAGAAATTCAGAGCTAAAAGCGACAATATTTGAAGACTCGTCATTTATCGCCTTCTCTAATTCTCCTTCCCCTTAAAGACCATCGTCGCATTATCCTTTATATTCAGCTTTAGCGTGATACGTATATACCTGTAAGAAAGGAGTTCTTATTCAAGGACCGAAACTGTGATCGAAACATAATAAACAATTATTCACCAAAGTGGAGGTGAATAATTGTTTCAGTATTTACCACACAGAAACCAACAAACTTGTTTATTACTCTTATTATACCGAAAAATGGTCGGAAATTCAACTCTTTACGCACGATTTTGTCTCATCGGCTGCTAAAAGGTTCATAGTACTTGCTATTCACTTCCGAACTAGCCAATCAGCGCGCGCAGAAAGCACTATTTACTTGTTTGGTATATACTAATTCTCTTTATAGAGGTGGGCCATGACCTAACTTTATTTGAAAAATGACGATGTTGAAAATGATGGTAATCATGATTAAAATCGAGTGACAATACTTGTCGGTACTGCAACTTTTAACTATTATTTGTCTAGACTGATAACGTTCTTTTTGCGTAACGTGTAAAAACAAAGTGAATGTATACAGCATACAAAATGGATGATGGTATGGGTCATGGCGAACCATGTCTCTAAAAATGTTATCATGAGTAGTATCGTGAGTTTGAAATTTATCTCGATTCTACTATTTTCACGAAGTTATAGAAGTATCACAAAACAACTATAATTATTATAAGTAATAATGTAAGTCTCGTTTTCAATTCTAACTACACTCAGACGAGTCATCCAATGTGAAAAGTTTATTTAGGATGAGTCAGCCAGTCTTGTAGTACACGCATCCTGGTTTGATCTTAACATGTGTATACTGAAAACTAAGGGTTCTACAAAAAGAACCTGTGCTGCGCCAGATACGAAAAACCACTAAGAAAACCATGCTTTAAAAGTGGCCAAAAAATATGTGGAAACGTATTCCTCATCTAATGCAGCAGCACAATACCCCGAGGAAAGGGTAAACTAACATGGCCACCCTGCTAATCACAAAAAAAAATCAAAGAATGTACTGATATTTTACAAGGATTTGGAAACGAAAATTACATCATTACAAAAAAAAAAAAGAAGGAAAGTGGTCAAACATAAGACAGACCGATCTAGAATGACTAAATTTTCCCGCGAAACACTTTAATCATCCGCAACTTCCATGATGCCACGCGAACCTCTTTAACGTGCTATCAGAATATTAATTTCTGACTAACTTGTTTCCATGTCACTCAAACTTCAGAAATTACATTTACCAACATCATTAATATTATCATAATTTTTAATATCTTTAGGTGTCAAACGCGTATCTAAGTCATGCTTCTGTCTCCATGGCTGGTCCATCTGAATTTTTGTTCAGATTTGTCACGCCATGCTCACTCATGTTTATATTTCGTACATGACGTCCGCTTTTACTTCGTTCTTGCATTTTAGAAAAACAATAAGACGAAAAAAATGATCCCATGGAATTTAATGTCTATGAAGATAAAAATAGCCTAGTATTTAAATAGGAGAATTAAAGAAGACCGAAAGAGACAATGCAAACCTCGTTCAAAGGTATAATGAAGATGTTATCATGACTGCAGCATACATAAATAAAAATTTGTTGCGGCTGAGTGAACAAACGAGATTGTAAAGTGAAAGGCGTGCCATCAAGAAGGAGTCTATGTCTAAACACAAATTTCTTGATGCTATATCAGCCTTGCGAATGCCATGTGATGCCAACGTCTCTTGATACAACTGCAATCCAATGAATACAATGCTCGGCCGTTTAATGTTTGTCGTAGTATTGCCGCTGTTTGTCCTTATTGCTGGCGATTTGTTTCAAGAATCTCAAGCAGGATCTTTTAAGTCATCATGTCTTCGACGATGCCATCGCTTATTTAAAAATACCGCCGCTTCAAAGGTTTGTACTCCATTTGTTTGTATTCCGATTGAGTTTTGATACTGACTGCACTACGGCTTACGCTCAAGTCTGCAAACATTTCCCTAAGGAATGTAAAAGGTTTCGTATAGCGGAAACCACGGATAATGCATAATGCATTTCCTCCACGTTGAAGTGGTGTCGTTCTTATTTCTTTTCTTCGATACTTGTTTACGAGGGCGTGCAAAAAATATTTTATAGCAAGTAAACGTGATCTGATTTCCAGGAATTTATGACATTAGGTTAAGCATAGTGATAGGCAAAGTTAATCTAATTCGCAATTTTTGTTTATATTCGATCGTCACCGTGAGTGATCTTTGGCATTTAGATTTCTGCCCGGTAAGAACTGTCTATTGATATTATTTTTCCTTTGAACTACGAATTAGTAACGCAAGCTAGAGTAAATCGCGAAATAACACGCACAATTAATAGAAGTCTTGCAATACTAAGCTGGTCTGAAATTTAAGCTCGTTCAAAATATTAAAAAGTAGATGTATAAACAGAGTGATAAAGAGAAGCTCAAAAATATTTTTGGGTTGGAAGTTTGTCGCTATATGTATTTTCCTTCGGTGTGTCCACAGAAGTTAAGACGTGAGCACCTCACAAACAGTGATTATATTTATGCGAAATAAAACGTGCATTTTGATCACGTCACGTCGGAAATAAAAAAACATTTTGGAGCTGTACTTTTACTGAGGAATATTTTTGTCAATGCTGAAAGTATTTTTCTCTACAAAGTTATTAAGTCATCCAGCTACTATAGTGTCTTGATCATCACAGATACAAAATTAGTGCAGTAAAGAAATGACGATTTCAAGTTTAAATTGAACATCTTTATCGATGGAAATGTTAGTTACTATTCAATACTGGTCAAAGTGGACTGAAACATAATTATCCTTGTTATGTTTTATTGAAACGGAACCAAGAATCTTCATCGACTTTGATATCCAAAAAGATTGTCTTATGGTTTCAAATGAGATCCTCTTGATATCGAGACAAAAATACGACTCCTTCCGGGCACATTTTACCACTCTGAATATTCAAGGATGGACAAATCCATTTTGACACAGCCCGAGACATTACTTAACAAACAATATTCGAATGAGTGATACTGGCAGAAACTTGTGGATAAAAATACGTTTCAGACGAGTGAGAGCGTTCACAGTTCATTCTAGAACTAATTAGATGGGACCTTTCAAATTAACCTGATGAGATTCTGTCATAGTATGAATGATTAGTAGCACTGGATCAAACTTTCTGGGAAAAAGGAATTCATTAAGATTTTCAGTACGCAGATTTTGCAGAAATTCTACGTCAATAACTCCTTGTTCTTGGTATTTTAAACGAAAGAGAAAATAATAATAATCGATAAGGCTTTCCAAACATGGCTTTTTAAGTCTTAACGCCGTTTAGTATTTGAAATTCCCTGCTGGTGATCGTATTTTAGATATGCAAATAACATTACTGTCTGTCGGAGGAAGGAAGCTGTTAAAAGTTTACATTTTAAATTTTGCTTCTTTTGATATCTCTGATATTCTTTGAAATTTTCAGATTTAATGTAGCAGAATCATGCATAAAACGTGTTTCCCGTAGGTCAATGAATCGGCGAATCTAAAACACTGAAAAATTGAGCCAGGCGATGATATAATCTGAACCCTTTGTGACATGATGACAACCAATGTTCCTCGTATTAATTATTTAATCGGAGCAAACGAGGGAGCTTTATTAGTCTATTAAATCCTAAATTTGCTCGCAATTAATCTCACGTACTTAAACGAGTCATTAATTATAGAAAATAAGTCTTAATGTGCACGTTATATTAAACTTTGAGTTTGAAGACAATCATGCAAACCTCAGCACACTTCGCGGACCTATGGCTTTGTTCCCTCTCTTATTAATTTTTGCTCGTGGCACAATGTAGAAAATGGCGCATATTCCATACCAAATTCTTTTCTAAGCATAACACAAATCTGAAACCTTATGAAAAAACTACACCTCTTGAACGTAAAACGAATTCAATTTCTGTCTTTGTCTTATTAACTGGAAATCTACCAATCGATTTGACCACTTGACCATCTGTCTCTTTACCATTCTGACCTGCAGGTATCCTTCTCATGTCATGAACTTTGCAAGGAAACGCAAGGTAAAACTTAGAGTGATTCATCTGTTTTAAAGTGGTATTTGATAGCCCTCTCAAAAGCGCCAAAGCGAATGGGCTTTCTCTTTCTGACAATGTTATCCCTGTTATTGTTATGTATTATTGCAAGTGAGGATGACGTTGGAACAGCTGTCAGGAGAAAAAGCGAAATAACCATGTGATTTCACACTAATCCTCCAAGCAGTGACCAATAGATGAAATTTTAAAGTTCCTTATCTGATAATTTTTTCTCTGTTTATATTACCAGAACAAAATAGTCTAATATATGAATATCATGTCTATGTAACAAAGCAGCATATCCTTATATCCTTGCCTTTAAAGAAAAGCAATTTCAACAGAAGTTATCTAAAAACTTTTTCTTTGGTAGGCAGCGGTCTCTTTCATGACATTCCGTCTCCGTGCCATCCAGGTGTTTTTCACCACCATAAAATTAATTCTATAACATCGTTATAGGTAATCTTACATGGTTTAAATGACAGTACATCTGATTTAGTTGTAATTTGTTGTTCATTTTAACTATTATTATTATCATTTAATTATTATTGTTATTATTGATGCAAAAAGCCATCTCCATTTTCCAAATATTTTGTGCTCTTCTTTCATCAAACCTCACTCTTGGCTCTCTACAAGAATCTTTATTCTAAAGTTATATCTTTGTCAGAAGGTTCAGTTTTGTGCCAACAGTTTTTTCTTGGTGCTCTCTGAATGATTTCTAGTCAATCAACTCAAGCATCAATTTGTAATCCTAATAGATCTTGGATTTCAAAAGTTTTGCGAGTGAATGTGCTCAAAAACTCCTTCCGTTCTCAATCAAGAGATTTGATAGGAAAACCATTCGGGGCTTGATTATTCGAATTTTCTCGCCTCTCTGGCAGTCATCGTCAGTAAATCAGATTGGTTCGTGTGACATTTACCTTTGTCTGATTGGTCGATGTGATTGGTTTGTTTTTAGTTTTTGGACGCTATATCGGAAATCGCGCAAACCGATTTCTGTTAAATCTTGGGATCACGTGGTAAACTTGTCCCCTTTAAATATTTTAATGGTTAGGAGTTTTGAGTGCTTTAGACTGATTAATGCCCGTTTGCTAACAACAATTTTTGTCTCCTGTCTTGTGACACTGAGTAAACTTTATAACGTGAATCTTAGTTTCGAAAGTGTCCACTGCATAAGTTTATACATGTACCTCCTAGTGATTTCAGTGGCAGAGCAACGAGGCCTCGCTGCACATAGCTCCATGAAACAGCGCATTCGAAAGGCTTTGAAAGCTATTCCTGGTAAGTTGAAAATAATGAAAGGAGTGTAAAGAAAGAGCTCAGGATCTTCCATTTCAGTTGAGATGTATCATGAAATGAAGACTGATCTTGTAAATACAAATAACAAATAGGTTACAGATCCTTACAGTATGCAGAAGCGCATATAAATCGTTTGCGAACTTTGCAAAGACCATGTTAAGCATCGGAATAGACGCCTTTTGTAAAAGGTGGTTGAAAATCTAAAAGGATGATTTGCCTGGGAGACAGTTAACCAGAATAATCATGCAGTTTTGTGTAGATTCACAAAGTTTCGTTCAAACAGTTCTTACATCCCTAGAGTAATAGTGAGTCAAACAATAAAAAAATAACTTTATATCACCAATGCTCGGGGTGTTATGTTATACCCTCCGTCATGCAAATGTCTGTGAGTATGACAAATTCTGTGGTGAGTGACCTTGTCCCCATTTAAAAAATTTTAATTGTTTCTACTCGTGCCATGCTCTCTCTTGATGTAGTAGTTATTCAGAAGTTGTGGTTTTCCCCGATGTTAAATTTTTGAGCATCGGAGAAGGGATGGCCTATAGTTTGGAAGTTCCACTTACTGTTGTTTTTTGGGGGTAGTTCTTTTGCTCTTGATTATATTGCTAACTTCACACCATGTTTTTTAGAGTGCTCAATGTCTTCATTAAATCAAAAAGTGGACTGGACCCCAAGCGAGGTGAACGTGACCTTTGGACAGTATAAAAAAACCAGTCATTGGTACGCGAACATATCTTGGACGCCTTTAAATGGTGAGTAATAAAAGCTTCGAGAAAGTTGAACCCATTTTATCGAGTGTCAGTGATAACTTCGGCATCATAATGGCTTTGCTTTCTTTCGCGATATAGCTGGAGTGAAAAACTTTCTCTACTCTAAACTAATCAGATCCAGAATTTAAAATTAAATAAAATTCCAGATTTACCGCGCTTGTAGGGAGCTTCGTTTGCGTTGCGTTGCGTAGAAAATTATCTAACTGCAAATGCAGAATTTTATACTTAATATGAATATATCTATGTTATGTTCCCTAAAAGCAATGAAATGTAATGATGTTTTAATTTTGGTGAAAAAAAACTTTCTTTAAGCCTAGTTTTTTATCATGAAGGTTTAATCAATGTGCAAGTTCCCTTGCTTACAAAGTAGTTTTATCCTTGTAAGATTCAAAATACATACTTAAATTTTTCCTTAATCACATTACATTGGGGATATTTTGACTGAAAGGTATAAAGTAGATGAAAATATTTTTTTGTGTACAGCATTTTCTCTATGACCTTGTATTGGCTTCAGTTTTGTAATTCCCTAACGAAAGAGTATGATGACTCTTTGATGCAACAATTTTTCATTCTGCGATTTGTTTGTGTAGAAACTTACGGAAACTGGTCCGGTATTGTGGTTAAACTTACGGTAAAAAATGCCCACCCTATATTGAAAGGCGTATATCCATCAAGTTGTTCTCAACATCCGAAGGTAAGAGGCAAAGTTACGCAAAAATTGTAGTTCCAATCTTTCTTAAAGATTGACCTGAATTTCGTTTACTTATCGGGTGAAAAAAAATTGCTTTATATTGACTTTAAGTTAGTCTTTTTTCTATCGGTAGCGTTCTTTAACGATTCAAATAAGATTTCTAGCCCTCAAGTCAAGTGTTTGTGACTCATTCGTGTTGTTTTTTCTTTTTATAACTATTGTCTTGCAAGTTAAAGCTTGTTTTGCACATTAGAAAGAAGATTAACTGAACACTAAAATTGTCACAGCCTCTTTGAATGATATACAGCTAGGAAGTCGCCTAATTAAAGAAACAAACTCAGCCAAAGTCTTCAGAACACTGAGGCTTTAACTATTGATTTTAAGCCATACCCAGAGGTGATAGTGTTTTGGGCAACACTCCTTAAATAATCTAGCACTGATATAGATTTAAATCTGCATGGATATCGTTTTGGCTGGTTACATATTTCTCAAGATACTTGTGCAACACGTCAATGTGACGTGTGATTAGACTAAGGATCAGAATGTTAGGATCGCATGAGGACGCTCTTCAGCCGTACAAAATAAGAGGACAAAGAAAACCTCTCTTAGAGGTATTGAAAGCCGTTTTTGGAAAATCCACTGACCATCATAAACTTCTTTTCAGTTGGTCTACAACCTGGTGGTCAGTAGCTAATCAGTTGCATTGATTTTGTTTTTTCACCATTGTTTCTCCTCTTTTTCTTTCTAAACTTCAGAATCAAACATTTCTTCAAGTTAATCTCTCTTCCTACGGATATCTTTTTCCAGATGTTATTTATCTGAGGGTAAGTAAGATCTTACTCGATTTACAGTGTACTTGCTGCCAATCAGTTTAGTTTAATTATCTTTGAACCAAAGAAGGTTAGTGAGACGCTTATCATCACATGGTTTCCTATTTTATTTAAAGATTCTTGCCCTTCCTTACTCTCCAAAAGAGGACATCTCAGATGTACTGTCATTTAAACCACGTAAGTTGTACCGATAACAATACTGTAGAATTAATTTTATGATGGTGAAAAACATCTGGATAGTATGGAGACGGAATGTCATGAAAGAGATCGCTACCGACCAAACAAAAAGTTTTTAGATAACTTCTGTTGAAAATGCTTTTCTTTAAAGGCGAGGATATAAGAAAATGCTGCTTCGTTACATAGACATAATATTCATATATTGAACTATTTTGTTCTGGTAATATAAACAGAGAAAAGTTTATCAGATAAGAAACTTTAAAATTTCATCTGTTGGTCACTGCTTCGACGATTAGTGTGAAATCACATGGTTATTTCACTTTTTCTCCTGACAGCTGTTCCAACGTCATCCTCACTTGTAAATCAAAGGACAGCGGGTAAGATGAAAATAAAAACTTTCATTCGAGGATTGTTTAAAACCCAAATGATTTAGCGAGATTGTTATTAAGATGTATAATGTTGCGCCTTTTAAAAGTGTTAAAAAGAAGTAAATGCAATGTCAGAAGTCGTACAATAATGCAATTATTAATGATTGTCCAAGCAACTGCAGTTAGTAACTGCCGAGGACTAAACGAGAATTTCAAATGAAGAAATCTGTGGTCATCGGAAAGCCATCACAGTGATGTTACTTCTAATAGTACTTGAGCGCTTAGACATCCAAGTTTGTCTCATATTATTTGCATAAACGCCTGTTTATTGTCCTTGTCTTCTGATCTGGTGAGTTATGATTCAAATTTTGCACAGGAACTTTGACAAACTGTATTTCTATTGGTGTGAGAAGAAAATACTGAATTTTTATGTTTATGGGGTCTCAGACAAACTTCTCAGGAGCACTTTGAAACAGGCCTCATTGCTTTAAAATTATTATTCTTTTCATGAACTGCTGTTTCAAAAAACGAATTATTATCTTTTCATGAGAAATCGGGGAAGAAATGCTTCATAAAACACCACACCTGGTATAGTTACATCGTTGTTGCCGTTGCTCAGCGTAAGCGTCAAAGCCTCACACTTTAAAAAAACTTTGTTAGAATGAAGCTTGTTGCTGGTGTCAATCGATCTCTTTATTTCTTAGTACTGGTTTCTTGAGCTGCCTGGGTCTACAAACAGCCGGATTGTGTCTGTCTTTTAATGGGCATGGTGACCTGGCTTTAATCACAGATTTTTTTTTACCTCAGCAATTTTTCAACTATTCCCCTTTCTGTAGAATGTGCATGGAGAGATTCCTAGAGCCGATTGTTAGACAGAATCTTAGAAACGACCTTTCACTTTAAAAGTGTGTTCGTTGAAAGTTTTTCATACCGGTACTTGATAACAGCAAATCACAAGTTTTTATCTAAGAGTCACAAAGGGAAGGCAGGTAAAAGGCTTTTCTTGATTTGGTACTAGAAGTTATTCATTTTCACCTAGGTTCTAACAAAGGCATGAAATATGTGTCCAGTTCCGTTGGTATCGTTGCTGGTGTCTTGGCAGTAGTATTGGCCGGTGTTTGCCATAAAAGATTTACCAGAATCTGTTTACAATACGGATACATCCGTCCATCTGGTGGTTTGTATTTGTCTTTCAATAAAGAAATACCAATAATATCTCTTGGAGGGGCGAGCGACTCGACTGATCCTCATTGCTTACGTACCTAACTTTGAAATCACGTGTGGATAACATCTTTCCATATCCATTTATTTCACCACTTCAGTCGAAGTTGTCCTTCTTAATAGAATTTAACTTTTAGATTTTCTTGGACTTTGAGATAATATATTTTTTAACAAAACAGCACGCATAGTAAAACTATCTTATAAATTTGCTCAGAGCCTATTCAAGCTATAACATGATCACATCTACTGCAACAGCTAAGAACTGAACATCCATGCACTATCGACACCGAAAAAATCCTGACTCCTCTTTTGGGACAAATTAAAGGTCCGTTCTTTGATAGTGAGCGACATTTTTTTGCACGACTTCCCGTCTCGGGAAGATGTGGGCCAAAACAGTATTCTACCCTCGCTTTCGAAATATAAAAAATGTTTAGCCTTTATATTAAGTGTTTGGTAAATCTTTCCCCTTTTTTGTCAACCTTGAAAACGCCCCTAATTAATATGAGTATGAAGCCTGCCCAAGTTTTTTATAGTTTTTATTTTTCACAATTTTAGTGGTAAATTGTGAAAAATCAAAACCATAAAAAATTTGGGCAGCAACACTTACAAGTCTGAGAATTTACAATTCTTTTGCATAAATACTCCTTCTAACAATTTTGTGTTTATCATTTTCAGATCTTGGGCCTGAAAATTATGATTGTGACGCATTCATAATTTTTAGAAGTGATGACCTTGAATGGGTGGAAGAAAGGCTTCTCCCTCTCCTTGAAGGAAAGCATAAGCTAAGATGCCGAATCCACCACAGAGACTTCAGAGCTGGCGGTATTATTTATGATCTGATTTCGGATAGCGTTTACAAAAGTTACAAAAATGTAGTAGTTTTCTCAAGTAAGTTTTTGAACGGCCGTTATTGCAGGTATGAGCTAGATCAAGCGAAGCAGAGACTTCTCGAAAGAAATGACGACAGTTTGGTTATCATAAGAATTGATGACGTTGATTTAGGGTCGCTACCCGAAGATTTGCGAGAAAGAAGCGTGATCGACTATGGAAGTAATCATGAAAAACCTCATTGGAAAAAAAAGCTCCTTGAATTTCTCGGGGTTCCTCACAAATACAAACGTGAAAGCACAAAAAGCAATGATACCGAAGTATCCGTGCTTGAACCAGTCAACGGAGATGTTTTCGAAAATGGACACGAAATTGCCAAAATGACCACTGAGGCAACTTGTATTACTAATGCGTGATAAAGCACCAACTACCATCACGAATAATAGTAACATTTATTTCCTTTTGGAAGCTTTGTGAATTTTTGCAGGTTATCGACGCTGCAGCTTTTATTAGCAGAGTTCAAACCATAAAACTTGACAATCGCTTCTCTTTGGCCAGCTGTTTCTTATCGCAGGAATTTGCGAAATTGTAATTAACTGATTTATGTTCAGAAAAAAGACTCATGAAGTCAAAACGAGTTGGTTATCATTCTAATTGACTCAACATTACTCAACTCTGCCACTCATCTGAGAGACTAGCTGAGAGAACTTGTGCTATCAGTACTCAGTACGACTTTATATTTTCAACACCAGAATTCAACATCAGATTTTATATTCTTATGGTGACGAAGTTCTTCTGCAAATCAAATCAATTTAATTAAGTCAATGGATATAACACTCTAAGCGAAGGTAAAAAGTGAATATGATCTCGATACGGTTCTTTCATGTTTCACAACTGGAACATAATCATAGCTAAAATAGTCTCAATACCAATAATCAATGACTGTTTCAGTATCATGAGTCAAAAGTTTATTGGATATTCGCCGAGGGTCAAATTTGTAGAGGATTCCTCATCACTATTCACTGTTGGTGCTCATTTATAACCTAATTTTATTTTTCGTTGTAAGGTTGAGAGAAAAGAGAGCAATTTTTTGTAGGTTAGTGCCTAAGTGGTATAGTAACAGTATGACCTTTAAATCAGATCCAAAAAAAACATTTTTCTGCATTTTAATCAGTTTTCTCCTTTCTAAACCTCAAATTCCTAATTGATACGATACGTAAGTAATTTGTTATCTTTTTTAACAATTTTCGATAATCTTATTGATCTAGGCCTCTCTTTCATGAATCTCTTACTCTTCCAGGCATCAAGACAATTTTATTTCATTATAGACTATTACTTTATAATTTCTCTTGCTAGAAACCTATCGAAAAGACAGTAAAACCATAGATTTCTCTGTAATTCTCCTTACTGTCAACCATACAATTCTGATAATGTTAGTTTCGAGGATTTAGTATTGGATCAACTTATTATCCCCAGATTATTAGTGAGGAGAAATTCTGTCTTGGTCACCCATGGTAGTTTTTTGAAGGGTTAAAAAGATCGCCAGCACGAAGCAACAAGTTGGAAAGACAAAGATTGGAAAAAAAATTTGGAACATTACAGACCATTTTTGCGTGGCTTAAGGATCACTTAGCTATTTATTGTAAATAGTACAGAGTGTTTTGTCTTAAAATAAAATCATCAACCCCGCAAGAATCGTTCTGTATCGTAACTGTTGGTAAGTATTTTTCCTATTTTGCAATAACGATCGTAAAAAAAAGAGCTTTGCATAGCTCGATGCTCTGCCCTCTTCGTTTTTCGTCACATACTGAGTTAGAAAGAACTGCTCATATTTCTGCGAAAACTTACTTGCGTTCGCTTCAAAGTTCTCAAAGTAATGTTGTAGATTGTTAATGTACCTGGAAGAAACGCACCCACCTGAAAACATAGCCCATTCAGAAGCATCGAGCACTATCTTTATGAACGGAAGAAAAACTGAGTTTCTTCCGTTACGTCACATTCTTTATCGTATGTTACATCATAATGAGGCCTGTGCACGCGCAGGCTTCTAATGGGCTGCAAGCGAAAACACCAACAAAAACGCAGATAAAACGAAAACAAAACAGAAATTCAGGGATAAGAGAGAAAATATTTAAACCTCATCATTTATCTCCCTCTCCAATTCTCCTTCCCCTTAAAGACCAGTGTTAACCTCGCTTTATCCTTCATATTCAGCTTTAGCGTGATACTTATACACCTGTTAGAAAGGAGCTTCTATCTACCAAAACTGTAAACGCAACATTAGAGGTGAATAATTATTTTAGTACTTACCACACGGAAACCAACAAGCCTGTTTATTTCTTCTATCATACCGAAAAATGGTCGAAAATTTAACTCTTTACGCGCGATTTTGTCTCATCGGCTGCTCAGAGGTTAATAGTATTTGCTAATTCATTTCCGAACTAGCCAATCAGCGAGCGCAAAAAGCTCTATTTAATTGTTTGGCGTATACTAATTCTCTTTATAGCTGTGAGTCATGATCTAACTTTATAAATTTGAAAAATGATATTGTTGAAAATTGCGATAATCATGATTAAAACCAATTGACAATACTTCACAGCACTGCAATTTCTAACTGTTATCATTTGATTTAGATTGATAACGTTATTTTCGCGTAACGTGTAAAAACAAAATGAATGTATACAGCACAAAAAATGGATGATGGTATGAGTCATGCCGACACATGTTCTTAAAAAATAATTCGTGAGTATTATCGTGAGTTTGTAATTTATCTCGATTCTACTATTTTCACGAAGTTACGGCAGTATCATAAAAACAAATATAATCATTGTAAGTAGTTACTTAAGTCTCGTTATCATTACCGTCATCATTAATATTATCATAATAGTTAATATCTTTAGGTGCCAAACGCTTAGCTAGGTCAGGCTTCAGTCACCATAGCTGGTCCATCGGTATTTTTGTTTAGATTTGTCACGCCATGCTCACTCATGCTTGTATTTCGTACATGACGTCCGCTTTTACTGTGTTCTTGCATTTTGGAAAAACAACAAGACGAATAAAATTGTCCCATGCAAATAAATATCCACGAAGATAAAAGTAGAAGACTGGAAGAGACAATGCAAACTTCGATCGCACGTGATAAAGGCATAATGAAGACTGAGCGCATCAATTATGATCTGTTGTTTATGTCTGCAGCATACATAAATCACAAATTTGTTGCGAGTGAGTGAACAACCGAGGTTGTAAAGAGAGGTCCGTGCTCTCGAAAAGGAGTCCGTGTCTGAAGACAAAATGCTATGTGCTATATCCAGCCCTGAAATTGCAATGCCATGTGATGCCGACGTCTCTTGACGCAACTGCAATCCAATGAATACAAGACTCGGCCGTTTAATGTTTGTCGTGGTATTGCCCTTGTTTGTACTTATTGCTGGTGTTTTGCTTCAAGAATCTCAAGCAAGATCTGTAATGTCATCATGTCTTCGACGATGCCATCGCTTAGCTGAAAAAACCGCCAGTTCAAAGGTTTGTGCCCCATTTGTTTGTATTCCGATTGGGTTTCGATACTGACTGCACTGCAACTTACGCTCAAGTCTGCGAATATTCCTATTAGGATCGTAAAAGTTGTCGTAGAACGGAAACCTCGGAATTCTAATGCATTTCTTCGACGCTGAAGCGGTTTCGTTCTAATTTCTACTCTTTGAAACCTGTTTGCCAGGGCGTACAAAAATATACTTTATAACAGGTGAGCGTGATTTGATTTCCAAGAATTTAGAACATTGGGCTAAGGATAATGATGGTGCAAAGTGAATCTTATTGGCAATTTTCATTAACATTCGATCGTCAATGTGAGTGATCCTTGGCATTTAGATTTCTGCCCGGCAAGAACTGTTTATTGATATTATTTTTCCTTTGAACTACGAATTAGTAACGCAAGCTAGGGTAAATCGCGAAATAACAAGTACAATTAATAAAGGTCTTGCGATGCTAAGCTGGTCTGAAATTTAAGCTCGTTCAAAATACTCTTAGGTAGATGTATAGACAGCGATAAAGACAAGCTGAAAACACTTTTGGGTTGGAACTTTGTCGCTATATGTATTTTCCTTCGGTGTGCTCACAGAAGTTAAAACGTGATCACTTCACAATCAGTGTTTATATATGTGCGGAGCAAAACGTGCATTTTGATGACGTCACGTTGGAATTAAAAAAGAATTCGTTTAGGTGTACGTGTACTGAGGAATATTTCTGTCAATGCTGAAAGTATTTTTCTCTACGAAATTATTGAGTTATCCTGCCTCTACAGTGTCTTAACTATCACAGACACAAAATCAGTCCGGTAAAGACAGTAATTTCGTGTTTATTCAAGTTTGAAATGGGAAATCTTTATTTGCGCAAATGCGTAGTTTTGACCGACTGTATTGAATTATCTTTTGTTCCTCTCCTTCGTCAGGATAACTAACCTTGCTATTTAAAAATCAATTTGTGTTTGATTTGTTTGAATACCAAACACAGCTCCTTGGTAGAAGTTTGCATAGGGAGCTGAATTAGAAATGCTTTTCGTTCAAGAGGTCATTTTGCTTTTGTTGACTAAAAATACACTTTGCAAAGCCGACAAACCAAATCATTTCCTAACACGTAATTAATGACAAAGCATATCAGTTATAATCAGCATAACGTTTCATAATGATTTTTTCTTCTCGACGCTTTTAGTATTCTTAACAAGATGTATGTGGATACGTCATGTAGATCAAAATACTGCATTTAGTACCGTTGATATTTGAGGAGAGAAGCACGAGTTTACTCTCACCAAAAAGTTGGAGAGAAAGAGTTTAACTTCCCGAGATTTTTATCGATGGAAATGTTACCGGTAAAATTGGACGGAGACATGATAGGTGATGATAGTACTAGTTATGTTTCATTGAAACGGAAACAAGAATCTTCATTGACTTTGATATCCAAGAAAATTGTCTTATGTTTCCAAAACGAGATCCTCTTGATATCGTGACAAAAATACGACTCCTTAGGGGCATATTTTACCACTCTGAATATTTAAGGATGGACAAATCCACTTCGACACAGCCCGAGACATTACTTAGCAAACAGCATTTGAATAAGTGATACTGGCAGAAACTTGTGAATGAAACTACGTTTCAGATGGGTGAGAGCATTCACAGTTCATTCTAGAACTAAGTAGATGAGACCTTTCAAATGTAAGATTCTGTCATAGTTTGAATGATCGGTAATATTGGATTCAGTTTTCCGGGAAAAGTTGGTTCATTGAGGTTTTCAGTAAGCAGATTTCGCGGAAATTTTGACAATAACTTCTTGTGCCTGGCATCTCAAACCAATGAGAATATAAAAATAATCGATGAGGCTTTCTAAACATGGCTTTTTAGGTCTTAACGCCGTTTAGTATTTGAAATTTCCTGGTGATCATACTTTAAATATGCAAATAACATTACTGTTTGTCGGAGGAAGGAAGCGTTTAAGAGTTTATAGTTTGCCCCTTGTCGAGCTTTTCCATTATTCAAATTTTGCTTCTTTTGATATCTCTGATATTCTTGGAAGCCTTCCGATTTCATGCAACAGAATCATGCATCAAGACGTGTTTTCCGTAGGTTAATGATAGGCGGATCTAAAATACTGAAAAAATTCAGCCGTGCGATGATATGATCTTAACCCTTTGTGACATGATGGCAGCCAATGTTCCTCACATTAATTGTTTAACCAGAGCAAACGAGGAAGCTTTAACCGTCTATTTTTAAAAATCCTAAATTTGCTCACAATTCATCTCACGTACTACACGATTCGTTAATCGTAAAAAAGAACTACACCTTTGGAGCCTAGCCTCGTTTATCATAAACGAATTCGATATCAGTCTCTGTTCAGTCAACCGCAAATTTAGCGATCAATTTTAGCACCTGACCAACTGTCCCTATGCCTTTCTGACCTGCAGGTATTCCTCTCATGTTATGAACTTTGCAAGGCAAGGAAAGGTAAGCTGGTTTAGAATTATATTGATAAAGCGATATTCATATTTATTTGATTGGTCGACGTGATTAGTTTGTTTCTCCTTTTAGGACGCTAAATTAAAAATCGCGTGAACCCAAGTGCGGTAAATCTTGGGATCACTTAGTAAAATTTTTTCACCGGTCCCTGTAGATGTTTTAAAATTGGTCCGTTCAGGGTCTTTGAGTACTTTAGGCTGATTGATTCTCATTTGCCCATAGTTTATTGGTCTCCTGTCTGAATAAACTTTATAACGTGAATGCTAATTTTGAAATTGTTTACTGATTAATTTACACCCCCTAATAATTGCAGTGGCAGACCAACGAGGCCTAACTGCACCTTTCTCTACCAAAAAGCGCATTCGAAAGGCATTGAAAGCCATTCCTGGTAAGCTGAAAATAATTACAGGAGTGTTAGGAAATAGCTCAGGATCTTACGTCTTAGTTTAAATGCATCATGAAATGAAGGCTGAAATTGTAAATACAATAAACACATGGGTTACAAATCCTAACAATTTGAATCAGTTCAGATAAATTGTTTGCCAACTTCGCAAAGACCATTTTAAGTATCTGAATAGACGCCTTTTGTAAGAGGTGATTTAAAATCGAAAAGGAAGATTTGTTGGGGATACACAATTACCAAAATAATTACCCAGTTTTGAAAAGGTTTGCAAAGTTTCATTCAAACAGGTCTTGCATCTCTGGAGTGAATGTAATTCAAACAATTTTAAAAAAAGAACTTGATATAGCAACCGCTAGGGATGTATGTTGTACCCTCCGTCATACAAATGTCTGTGAGTGTGACAAATTTTGTGGTGAGTTAACTTGTCCCGATTGAAAAAAATTTAATTGTTGCCATTCGAGCCATGCTCTTTCTTGATGTAGTAGTTATTCGGAAGTTGTCGTTTCTCCCGATGTTAAATTTTGAGCATCGGAGAGGGGTAGGCCGATAGTTTAGAATTTACTTCCAGTTACTGTTATTTTTGGAGTAGTCCTTTTGCTCTTGATCAAATTACTAACTTCAGACCATGTTTTTTCAGAGTGCTCAGTGTCTTCACCAAATCAAAAAGTGGACTGGACCCCAAGAGAGGTGAACGTGACCTTTGGACAGTATAAAAACACCAGTCATTGGTACGCGAACATATCTTGGACACCTTTGAATGGTGAGTGATTAAAGCTTCGAGAGAGTTGAACCCATTTTATTGAGTGTCAGTAATAACTTCAGCATCAAAGCGGCTTTCCTTTCTCTCGCGATATAATTAGAGTGAAAAAATTTCTCTACCTTCACCAATCAGATAAAAAATTTAAAAGTAAATTAAAGATAATAGATTTCCCGCACTCCAGAGAGAGAACCTCAAGACTTAAAGAGAAAATGAAGGTTCGTTTGCATTGAAATTTAAGTTTCATTTTTTGATAAATTATCTAGCTGCAAATGCAGAATAATATACTTAATATGAATATATCTATGTTAAGTTCCCTAAAAGCAATTATAACTTCATGCGTTTTATTTTTTAGTGAAAAAAGTTTTCCCTAAGCCTAGTTTTGAATCATGAGGGTTTAATTAATATGCAAGTCCCCTTGCTTACGTATGAATTGCACTTAAATTTTTCTTTTTCCTCGATCAGACTCTTTTAGGGATATTTTTACGGAAATGTAATATAGTAAATAATATATTTTTGTTAAGTATGCAGCATTTTCCCTATGACCCCGTGTTGCAAATTGGCTTCAGGGTAAGTCCCTAACGAAAAAGCATGATGACTCGTTGGAGTAACAATTTTTCACTCTGCGATTTTTTTTTTGTAGAAACTTATGGAAACTGGTCTGGTATCGTGGTTAAACTTGCAGTAAAAAATGCCCACCCTGAAGTGAAAGGCTTAAATCCATCAACTTGTTCTCAGCATCCGAAGGTAAGATGCAAAGTTACGCGGAAAATGTGGTTAATCTTTCTTAAAGACTGACCTGAATTTCGTTTACTTATCAGGTGGATTTAATGAATTTAACTTAGTTTTCTTTTCAAAACTATCGCCTCGCAAGTTAAAGCTAGTTTTGCACATCAGAATGTTCCGGCCTCTTTGAATGATGTAAAGCTAGCAAGTCGCCCTAGTTAAAGTAACAAAACTTAGCCAAATTCTTCAGAACCCTGAGGCTTTAGCAATTGATTTAAAGCTGTACCCATAGTGTTTTGGGCACACTCATCAAATAATCCAGCATTGATACAGATTGAGATCTGCATGCTCTCCAACTGTACAAAATGAGAGGAAAAAGAAAACTTCTCTTAGAGGTATTAAAAGCCGTTTCTGGAAAATCCACTGACCATAGTAAACTTCTTTTCATGTGGTCTATGACGTGGTGGTCAGTAGCTTATCAGTTGTGTTCTTTTTGTTTTTTCACCATAATTTCTCCTCTTTCTCTTTCTACATTTTAGAATCAAACATTTCTTCAAGTTAATCTCTCTTCCTATGGATATCTTTTTCCAGAAACTATTTATCTAAGGGTAAGTGAGAGCACCCTCGATTTAAAATGTATTTGCTACCGTGAGTTTAATTATTTTTGAACCAAAAACAGTTAGTGAGACGCTTCTCATCATGTTGTGGTTTCATATTTTATTTCAAGATTGTTGCTCTTCCTTACTCTCCAAAAGAGGACTCCTCAGATGTACAGTCATTTAAACCACGTAAGTTGTGCCGATAACGATAAAAAGCGTCCAGGAAGTCAACATAGACACTCTTGTGTGATAGCTCTTCCCCTATAACACCCAATAGCCATACATCATTCAACAAAAAAGTAACCAGAACACTCAAAATTATCAGGTAGAGGCTTTTATGTTAATGTAACACCCAATTCTCGTAACCTGTTTACATGTAAATGTGTTGCTGCCGGAGGGGAGAATAACAGTCAGATCTTGGGAGACAAAGGGGTAACTTCCCGTGTAAACTATACACTAGGACTGAGGATATAAAAATGAGGCGTAAAATTATTATGTGCTTAGATAATAATTTTCTTACCGTTTCGTCTTTTCTTCGTCAAATTCAGGCAGATATTTGCCGTAAAACTCAGACAACTGTGCACCCTTTTATTTGATTCTGATAAATCAGTTGTATATTGACCACTGAACACGTTAAAGTTTAGCTGGCGCAGGCAAACCTCGAAACCACAAACTCAGTTCAGATTTTCTGACGCCGATTGGCTTTGGCAATGTATAACATTCCATATACATGGATACGGTTGTCCGAGTTAAGCTCGCGAAGACAAACCTCAAAATCACAAACTCAGTTCAGATTTTCTGACATTCCTTTTACATGTATATTTATGGTATTCACGGTTTACTGAGTTTCAAAGAAGCTCACTCGATTCATACACTTTTTCCCCTCTGTTCACCCTTGGAGCCCTTAAAGTGACTGGTTTCTTTTTTTCACGTTTGATTTCAAGTAATTGTGATGAAAAAGAATATTTCCTATGTTCCGGCATTCAGCACATCAATATGAAAATTCACTTAATGGAGAGCGGATAACATGGAGACAGGATGTCTCCATAGAGGCAATGATTATGGAAGAGATCTCTGTCAAATAGAAACATTTTTGGATAACCACTGCTGAAAATGAATTTCTTTAAATGCAAGGATAGAGGGAAAAGGTCCTTTGTTACATGGACAGGGGTTCATTTGTTAAATTATGTCATTCTGGTGGTATAAAAAATAATTCACAATTTTTTTTCATCATTTCCGCCATCAGGTTAAAGATCAGCACGACTCTAGACTTTTTACTTCTAGAAAAAATAAATTGGTAGTATACATCATTGTCTTGATTCGGTCACTTGCTTAAGAAGCCAAAGCCGGTTGAGACTTGGATTTATGGTTTGTGAGACAGACACTTGTAATCATATATAACGTCTGATATACGACCCTTCCGAGTAACCTAAACACTACAATTTGCCAAAGAGCTTTTATCCATGTCACTGCTTCAACGATTTGGGTGAAAACTACATGGTTATTTTTCTTTTTTCCTAACAGCTGTTCCAACGTCACGCACGCTTGTAGAAGATACGACAGCGGGTAAGATAAGACAAGCTTTCATTTGAGGGTCTTCGAAAATCCAAATTACTCACCGATATTGTTAGTAAGATGTTTGTTGTGTATTGTTAGGTCCATCAAAAGTTTCGAAAAGAAAAAAAAGACAATGGCAATAAAATAATGCGATTCTTATGGACTATCCAGGCTACTGCAGTTACTAACCGAACGAGAAATTCAAATGAAGAATTTCGTGGTAATCATGCGCATGTGTTTGTTTTGTGACAGAAAAGCGTGGTAGTCCTATTTGTGAGAGTGATCAAAGACGCTGTGACCTAGGTTTATTTCATATCCTATTTTCATAAACGCTTGTTTAATGTCTGTTTCTAGGTTTCCTACCCACAGTGTCAACAAACTCTTCAAAATTCAGTAAGTTACGGTTCCTTTATTAACAAACAGGAGATAGTAAACAGAACTGAAATAATCTCTTTAAACGAAGAATGCAAGCCAGGAGACTTGGTCCAGTATATAAAGTATAGCCTCAATATGAAACTTGTCTGGCGAAAATAGCAAACAAACAAAGTTTCCGTGAATAGTGAAAGCAGGAAACAGGAAAAGCATTTGTATTGGAACCAACGTAATCCACATTTGGTATTTGCAAACTGTATAGAAGGATGAGATGTCGATGGCTCAATGTGTAATTCACTAACCAACTCAAAGAAGGTTGTGAACCTTTTTTGTTATTTTCTCGGCAAATAAGCTCAAATTACATAACGTACTTTTCATTAACCACCGAAAACTACCATATTTAGAGTATGTGCCTTTCTGCAGGTTGTGTACGGCACGAGTTTGGAGAATACGAGTGGCATGCCAAAAACATCAATGGACGTTTTTCCAAACGAAGTAACGGAGAATGGGTTGTCAACATTTCGTGGACACCTTTTAAAAGTAAGTGAGTTTTAATTCTGTGATGTTTTACCATATAAGCTAAGCAAAATTCAGTACTATAACACTTGGCAGATTGGCTGTAACTTGTTAGACTTGTATTATGTTAAACATATATGTATGATTCCCATATGATATATGGGAGTGACTGGTGTTTGAGCTACTGTTATTTTGAGTGTTGATTTTGCATGATTTATGCCCCAGAAACCATATGATTTTTACCCCGGTATCTACGCCGATAAAAGTAGATATGCGACTACGGATGCGGCCATTTTAAATTTTGCTTAGCAACCTGGCCACTTAAATTTGAGGTGATAAAGTCTTGATCCTCCTTGGCGATAAAATTGAACAATAAGGAGAGGACGGCAATGTCACTGAGTTGTTCTCCGTATTGCTGCTTGCCTGAGAAGTATTTTCGCACCCTTCTGTTCAAGAGCGATCATTGAAAGGGGGTAGACTATCAGTCAGAGGGTGGTAATAGACGAAAAAGCAAAATTAAATGGAAAGGGAACAAGGACGGTTATGGAGGTAGTTGTTCAAAACTAATCACAGATGGGATACTTAAACCGCCACACAGCTTCTCGTACGTGCTCGAGCGATGCAATGATTCGAGATATTTTCCAAGTATCAGTTATTCTTTTAATTGAGATAACAACCCTTGCAACTTACTTGGGTATCTTTTCTGTAGATGCCTCTATCAACTGGACTAGCTACTACATTCAAATGGGTATCGGCGGAAATGTCCCTATATTACAGTGTTTCAAATTACCAAAGGTATTCACTGAAATTCCCTCATTTTTAATTCTTAATTAGATTTGTTTGAACTTATGAGTAACATTTGATCGTATAGTTTAATCATCCGAGTGATGGTAGTACTGAGTAGGACTGTTGTCGAGTCCTGTTGTCGGAAGTCATTATCAAACTCGACTGTTGTTGAGTCTGATGATGACTTTCGCTGAGATTGTAGACATTGCCGCTGGTCAGCATTACCGACAACAGTCATTGTCAGGGCTGCTCTCGCCCGGACGATCACACAACAAGATCGAATTGCCTTCTTGAAGTACAACACGACATAACATGAATAGTAAAGTAAATTCGTACTAGCATACATTCCTTGTAGCTTAAATTTTTGATACTGCAAACCTGTTTCGATTATGAAAAAAACTTGAACGTTTTCAACTTAGGTACAGGAGACAAGCTTATTTAGCTGAGATCATTAGTTTATTGCAAACGAAACAAATTTTTAATTTTGGTACATGTTTTGAATCAGCTCCTAATATTGAAATTCGAAACGTATTTCATTCAGAACCAGACACATTTCATCTTGGATTATGCCACTTATGGTTGGAAATATCCTGAGCGAATTGACGTCGCGGTAAGTGACGATAGCGACTTTATCTTATTATCTTGTAAGTATCAATTTGATTTGGTGACAACCGACTGACAAGAAAAGCTTCCTCATTGTCCCTTTACATCCCAATATCAATACAAACAACTCCATGCATGCATATTCTCCATACTGTTCTCTATACATTTTCCAAGGTGCTAACAAGGAGAACGTGTCTCACAATCAAGAACTTCTTGAGTTGGTGATCATTTCCTTTATTCTTGTGACCTTAATGTTTGATTTAGGAGTGATTTTGTGGGGAGAAATTAAATGCTGGTCGCTCTTAGGGGTCAAAGTGTTAAAGTACAGTGTATATTTGGGGGCGTCAGTCATTTGACTCGAAGCGTATTTGGCAACCAAGGTTCAAAAGAGGTTCCTCTTACTTTTGTTCGTCATCGTTAAATTTTCGTAGTCCTCCATTGGTTCTGTTATGGTATTTTCATGTGAAGAAGTTTTAGAACGATATTTGATTCATTTGACAAAAGGTCCGGAGATATTCTGAAATTGCTCAGAAGGTCCACAGCCACGGATGATGATCTGTGGCTGTGAATTTTTTTAACTCTATGGCGCTCTCTTTTTTTACTTATTACATCCTCATATTGCTAAGGCGAAAATCAACATTTAGCCACGTGATTTTTGAAAGACTTCATCACTTTCATTTGGCTGACATGACAGCTATTGACGAAACGCAGCCCCTACCGTCTCCCCCTCTTAGGTTCAAATATGAAACATAGAAGGAAGGAACAAGCATAATAAAGAATTTTTGGAGAGTTCTCTGTAGGATTTAGTCAACAGAAACTTCTGAATCCAAAATCTTTCCCTTGTGCCTAGGTGACTGCCTATCCATTCCCCGAACATCCAGTTATGTATACAATGTCTCATATTGCTCGAAAAAAAGGTGAGATGCATAATTTTCAACACAATGATAATGTTCAGTTTTAAGTGATAATGATAACAACAATAATGATAATAATAATAAAAATAAGGATACTATTATTAATACTAGTAACGCTACTGATGATAATAATTAAGTAGTAATGTACATGAAAAATTCACGCGCTTCCGATTGGCTGAAAACGAGTGCATTCTCATGTTACACGAGTAGTGCAAGTTACAATAGCGCGCACACTTTCAAAATGTCGTCTGTCTTGACTTTCTGTGATGTTGTTTCATTAAGAAGTAATAACAAGATTCCTCTCGCACTTTGGCGTGATAAGCACTTCTAAATTTTTCAAAGACTACAAATTGCACTCGTCTTACGGAACCGTGCAATTTTACTGTCTTTGAAATATTTACTCGTGCTTATTAATACCCATTGCACTAGAAATCATGTTATTACCTATACTAATAATAAGGCAACGACAATAGCAAAGGCAATGGTAAAGGCAATGTCGGAGACAGTTACAGTGACAGTGACAAGGACGATTATGATAATCACAACATTGATGTTAAAAAATTTGTAACAATAGTGAGAATGATGAGATGAAAAGTAAGACAAAGTGACAATCATTACAGAAATAACTTTGTTTTGAATAAGTAAGCGTTAACAATTACGGTAATGTGGTAGAATTATATTGAGTATATCAGTACTCTCAGTATTTCATGTCAAAGTGAATGTGGACAGACGGACAAACAGTCTGGAAGTCCTGATCTACTCAATTTTCTGTTGAACACTGACGAGGTCATAGAAGGGCTGACGTTCTTGAATATTCTGGAGTTGCAACATTGTAAATATCAGAAGAATGTTGGATTCATTTGCGGTGGCGTCGAAAGTAATCCGAGATTCCATTGGTTTTGCATCCCTTTGCCCTGTAATTTGCCAAAAAACTCGCTTGAACATCTGAGCCAATCGGATGCAAAGCTAATCACGACGCAGTCATCCATGTTTTCAGAACCTCAGGCGGCTTGATTTAAGTTACTCCGACCTTTCATTGGCTCTTCGTGTTACTTACTCTTGTTTTGAATTGATTATCCGTTTTGGTTATTTTGTTTTGGTTGAGATTCTCAATCTGAAATTTACCCCAGAAATTGCAAACAATTGCAAACGTACAGTGTAGCTCAGGATCGAGAGAGACAAAGGCAGGACATTTCAAGAAATCAATTCCCCTCTCTCCCTCTCTCCCTCAGTCTTATCCCCCGCAGCATCACAATATAATGAATTATGGGCGATGCAGTTGTCCCTATTTTAGAGGATAATGCTATGGCAACGAAAGAATCTAAAAAGTAACTACTTTAGCAGTAGTAGCTTGCCAAATATTAACCGGTTATGTCAAATTTGAAACTGTATTAACCGACATGAGGTCAAATTGGTTTTACTCTAATAGAAGTTTCTATTCCGGCAACGACAGCATCATCGCCAAGTAAGTGTAGATAAGTAACTTTGACGCAGTTGATGCCCATAGAAAAAAAAAGCCTTGAAAAACTATGTTTCGTCTTTTATAAAGGAGAAATGTCTCCTGTCTCTTTAACCCCTAGAGGTAATTCATCTGTAATATATTCCTCAATGCAATGGATTCTCCAAATACAATTCATAGTCCACAAAAGAAATATCAGCGAACCACTCACTAGAATCTCTTGAGCTGTTGTTCCCTTGGAAAATTGGTGAACTAATCTCATACAAGTGGATATCCTCTTAGCAAACATTTACATTGATACACGATTCTTCAACAGCTTCAAGAACACTTGAGGTTGTATTTTCTTCCGTTGGAGGTACGTTTTTTCTTGGGCTGTTCGCTTTGGTGTTGTATCGAAAATGTCGTAAGCCGCCATCTTCAGTTACCAGGGAGACTGTAAGAAGAGGTAAGGTCGATACCTAAGCCGCATCATGCACTTATCATTCACTCTAAAAAAAAGCTGAAATTTCTTAGGTGTTCAAATTATCTTACTGTTTCAGGAAAAAAACTAAAGCTATAGCCCGGAATCTCTCCATAATTATTGTCCTATAACATTCACATCCAAAAGCTTTTCAAGACGGACTTTCTCCGATAACTTCCCAACATTCATGATATGCTTGAGTATCTGCCTCGTTTGTGACGAGCTAGTTGCTAATAAATATGGGATATTACCTCACCTGCATGCAAAGAATTAATTTTGTCCTTAGTCCGAGTAACTTCGCCTATGGACAAGAACCTGAAAAAACGTACGCGTATTCGGGATTTCTCTGGCCGGCTAAAAAGGAAAACGAGAACAAGATATACTTGGTTGCCTCAAGAGAGGATAAAGCGCATCCTCTCTTAGTTACTTTTATCCTTTATTTCGATTGCCTCATGAAGACTGCAATAATCACAATCTTAAACAATCAAAGACAGAATATTAACAATATTCATTTTGTTTTCACAGCTTTTAAGTACCACGCATTCATAATCTACAGCACGACAGAATCTGAATGGGTCAACAACGTCCTACTTTCGACGCTACAGAGCAACGGGTTTAGATGCTGTATACATTGGAAAGATTTTCAACCCGGCTCAGTGTTTGCTCAGAGCATTGTTGATAGTGTCCATGATAGCTACAAGATCATTGCTGTCGTATCGGAGAGTTTTGTTCAAAAAGGCATTTGCGAATTTGAGATAAACCACGCCATAACACGATTGATGAACGAGGGCGATGATTGCTTGATTATAATCAAATACGACAATGTGGATCTCAAAGTCCATTTGCCATCTCTCTTGGATAGGAGTTACATTGACCTACCGAACGAAACTGACAGATCGACATGGGAGTCTAGGGTTGTAAGTGTTCTTCAAGAGGCAATTATCGAGGAGGAAGCCAGTGTTCACAGTGAAGAGCACTCCAACAATAATTACGAACATGACGGAAATTCTTCGAGTGATGACAGTTCACAGGAGTTAACGTATTACTGTCAGTCACGTGGGTTGATCACCACCCATGAAACGCATAGCGCCTGTAGGAGCTAAAGGACCATAATTTACCTGATCCCCCCCCCTAGACTTTGTAATATTCTTAGGATCCTCCCCCTCCACCCCCCTCCCCTCATTCGCCGTCAATTTTCTGTCGTTCTCCCTGTTGTTGCAGTCTGATTGGCTCTTGTCAGTGTGATTTGTCCTACAGTCGCATCATTTTCTGATCTTAATCGAAATTTTTTCCTAGCCACTAAAAAAGAACAACCAGTCCGATTTCAAGTCTTATCTAAAGTAACCAATCAAATTTTAGGAAACTGAAAGACAACGTTAGCAACTTTTTTTACACACCAGCCCAGTACTGGATCAATAAAATATATGTACAGACTAAAAAGTCATGTATTTGAGCGACTGAATTTTTTTTTTTCAAAGTAAATGTAATAAAGCGG